CCAAGTTGTACTATTGGAGGGACTCAACAATGTTATTATAGGTTTATATGATCTAACTACCATCAACTCGATTGCCCAAATAAGTCTCACCAACCATGGTTATTAGTAGGTGTAAGTCCATGTTCGTTGTCCATTTAGTAAACTCTCTAATGCTTGCAAATGACTCGAAAACACTACTCTTGCCTCTATTCATAATTTACCTATTCAAAACAGAACTTCTCCAAACATTTTAACATCATAATGTGTAAATAAGGTTAAAAAAAACTTACTTAAGTCATAAATATCCAACAAAAAATATTTGTACATTAAAGTAACAAGTATAATATATTAATTATTTTCATAATCTCTCCACATATTGTTTGTAATATAACCTCTAAGGTTTGACCCTAGCATATAATCATTATCTCGATCTTGAGTGTCAAATGAGTGCACATCTTGTTCCATCAATTATCGATCAACCTCAACTACCAAGGAGTCATCATTATCCACTCCACAGAGATAGTTGTGAAGAATACAACATGCTAAGATAATTTTCGTCATCGACTCCAATGAGTAATATGCTTTAGTTCCACTCGCTATGATCGAAAACCGTTTCTTCAAAATACCAAATGTCCTTTTAATAACATTTATAAATGATGCATGATGAACATTGAACAACTCTCTTGGATTTTGTAGACCTCTTCGAGTATACTCTTTTAGATGATATCTGATGCCACAATACGGTATTATTATATTTGACTTTAATATAAAACCAACATCCTAAGGTAGTATTTTCCTACAATCATTATACTTAACATTATTTCAATAAGTTCTAAGTGACCACAAATCAAATCCACCAAATTCTATACAATTGACCTTGTATAATAATCAAGGGATCCTCTTGAATAAGAGCATCCTTTAAAATTCGTGAATTAAATGTAGTTCCTTCCCACCCGACTAACACATATGTAAACTTCATATCAAAATCACATGCTACAAATATGTTTTGTGCTAGCCAATCTTGTTTTCCCCCTGTAATGAGGGGTATCTACTTGCAGAACCCTAACACATGCATGAGTGTCATCTATTGCCCCTTAACAATCCTAAAGGGTAAAAAAATGTGAGTATGAACAAAAACTAATACATTATGTACGTAAAATCACATATGAGTTTGAACTATATTACCTTGAAGTATGGGTAAAATCGATTGTTGTTTAGAACATGAACTTGGACTTCTATCCTAGATGATTGGATCAAGAATCCTGCCTCCAATATCAACATTGCATTCAACATATTATGAAAATGTCTAAAAATAGTTCCCCAAAACGATGAAAAAAGAATGAAACACTTATATTCTTGACATTATACCCAATAATATGAAGAAATTTAGTTACTTGTTCTTTAATGGTTGATCAAAATGCATCTTTTACCAACTCAATTCCCTTAATCGTTTACATAACGTAATGAATTATTGAGGTCTCATCCAAATAATATCACGTGATTGTTTTGTGTATACTAAGTACGACAACAATTCTTGTGAATGACCTTTTTTTAGAAAACATTCTGAAATATTTGGAATTGAGAGACGTAACACACTCAGTGCATAAACAATAATACAAAGATAGTCACGGCTACTACTTTGGTACAAAGTTTTATTTATTGTTGTAAGTATTGAATTAAATTAAAGTCTCCACCAAATACATCATTATCTTCATTAAAAAAAAAACTTTGATCAACAATTCTCATGTGATTTTACAACTCCTTTAAAAAATATATCCTATCTTTTGAAAATTTATTATTAATTTTATTTATCTCAATCAATATAAGGTAAAAATAAATTCTTAATTATATTTTTATAATTCAACACCTAATATAATATTTTATGCTTCAAATTATAATTATAATTTAAATAATATAATATTAAATTAATCCTAAATTGATAAATTAATATTATACTGTATTTTAAAAATAAAAATTTAAATATTTCATGAGAGGTATATTCATTCCTAATTTATTATATATATTATTAACAATTTTAAATTTAATTTATTATACAATTTAATATATTATTTTATTTTCTTATATTATTTTAATATTTAACGTAATTAATAATCATTAACACTTAATATATAATAAACTTATTCTTATTTTTCTATAAAAATTTTAACACGTATCTATTAAATCATAAATATACAAATTTAAATCTAATTAACTAAAAATCAATGCAAAGTAGAAGAAACTTGTTTGTTGAAAAAAATCACTCACTACACCACCGTCCAACTCATTACATCAACATCACTAGTACTACCAACACCACAGGACGACCACCAACAAGGTTAGACCACCACCACGATACATCAACAACACCAACACCACAAGTTAGCACGAACAACACCAGCACACGAATACCACAACTCAAGCTTCATGACGAACACCAAGACTTACAACTAAGAATATTATGTCACTCAATCAACTACACACATATAAGACAGTTTTGTAACTTATATTAGTATTTATGATTTTAATCTTATTATTTTCAAAATTTTGTAACTTTTATTAACATTTATGATTTTGACACCTTATACTTAACTATTATTAAATATATATATATATATATATATATATATATATATAAATTTAACCTTTCACAATTTTATATTCTTTTTTCTTTTTATATTTATTTATTATTTATTAATAATATATTATTTCACTCTTATAAAATTTCACGCGACGAAGCACCAGGTTTCACATACAACATAGAATACAACACAAATCAATCTTTGTTGCCAACATAAATCACCATGCATATGTGAGAATTGGTTCTCGTCCACGCACACCACATACACGGGAGCACCTCCGCTCACGTATTTAACGATGAGTTCAAACGACGGGTGACGAGAATTGTAGTTGTGTGTTTGAGCTACAACGAATCCTGGCATGAAAGAGATGCATACAAAACTACTTCAAGGATTCTCTATCACCAACTTGTGAGATTCATACACAATATTTCAATGTGAGACACATAAATAAGGTAAGACTAGGGATGGCAAAACGGGCTAGGCCCGGTGGGCGGGTTGGTGTTTTCAGCCCACCAGCCCGCTTTGGCCCGCCCCGCCAAGCCCGCCAACCCGTCGGGCCAACCCGTGGGACCTGGCGGGCTAGCCCACGCCCGCCTAATTAATAAAAAAATAATTTTTTATTGTAATAAAATTAATTATAAAAATAATATATAAAGTTAAAAATTTTAAAAAGAGAATTAAAAAAGTTTCATTCTCACGTAAAATATTCTCCTTCCCGAAATATAACCTTCTCTCCTGTTCTCCTTATTTATCCTAAGTATCGATTATATTTATCCTTATTACTTGAATTAAAGGTATAATAATTACTCAACCAAGTATAATATGAAGTTTTAGCAAATAAAAAAGATATAGGTATTTGAATTTTTCAATATAAAAAATATAAATTTTATAAGTTTAACGTTATTTATATATATATATATATTTGTTATTATTTATTATTATGTAAATTTTATTATTGTTCTAAATTATAATTTCTTAAAATAATATATTGATTTATATTATTAAATTGAAATAATATATATATATATATATATATTGAATTATTGACAAACAAATAATAATCTTATTATTAAATTTATTAAAAAAATTATTTTTTTTAAATTATGACGGCCAGTCACACATGTCACTAACCCGTCCCTATGGGCGGACTAAGTCTATAGCTCATCATGACTATATCGGGTCAGCCGCTTCGCCCGCTTTGGCGGCTAAACGGGCGGGCTGGCCTCTTTTGCCATCCCTACGGTAAGACCATCATTACATCATCTTCGCTTTTGTTTCTTGCCTCTTCTCCTCTATGAAGTGTCTCCCTCAAATCACTACATACAAATGCAAACAATCCCGTTCTTCGATCTACCTGAAGACTATATCAACGGATTCAAACTCAGGTCAATTGTCGGACAAGGAGAAGAATGAATTGTTGCGGGAGTTCTTACAAATAATTGTTTAAAAATAAAAATAAATATTTTATTATAAATTTATAAATAAAATATTTAAAAATTAATGAAAATTACTTATATAAATAATTTCTGAAAACCATAAAAAAATATTTATATTTATTTTGAAATAACATATAAAATATTTATTTTTATTCTTAAATAACTTTTATAAAATCTTTCGAAATGCTCCAAGTGGCTTCTCTGTAACAGTGGGCTATGTAATAAGCTTCAAAAATGACATTGAAAAACGCAAAGAATGAATGAATGTGGACTAAAACAGATTCCGAAATGTTTGACGCCATATGCAGAATCGTTTCTCGTCCATACTCTCAATAACAGGCTTCTCCAGTCCATTCGGGCAACTTGTAAAATGTGAAGGTCACTCCCGCTCTGTTCTCAAATCACGTGCTGCATATTACATTTACACCTCTGCATTCCAAAGTCAACTTTTTCGCTATCATCATCACTATTGCATCAAAAATCTAGTATCTTCTCTGTGTGAAACGGATGAGAAATAGAGAGAAAAAGAGAAAAAGAATAAGGGTGTGAGAGATGGAGAGTAACCGGAAGAAAGATACAAACTATATGACGTGACGTGACGTGACGTGATAGGAACATAGAAGCATGAATATTATAGATATTTTGTCATCGTTACTTTATTACTGTTATTATTATTATTATTATGAGTTATCGGCTATACAAAATTAACCTCTTTGGTTTGTTTCAGAGTCTTCGCGGGGTTATCGCACACTCCACTATTTCTTTTCTTTCTTTTTTTTTTTTTCGAAGTAAACTATGGAAAATGTTGCTGGGTTTTTGGTCCCGTTGTCACGTTGACTTTTATTCTGAATATTCTTTCTTATATGCCATTCATATAAGTTATTATACCCTCATTAATAATAATAATAATTATTATTATTATTATAGATTGCATTTGATCGAAATAATAAATAGGCCCTCTCGGGTGGTGGAACCTAGATCAGTAGGATCACGGGGTTTGAGCAAAATGGGTGTTGTGGAGGGTCTCTTAGCATTTGCTTTGGCCCTGAATGCGGTTGTGGTGTGTAATGGAGGCACAAGCAGCACCTTCCTTAGGAAATCCGAGAAGACGGTGGATATGCCACTAGACAGTGATGTGTTTTCTGTTCCTTCTGGTTATAATGCTCCTCAGCAGGTGTATACTCCACTCTTTTCTTCTATTTTACCTTTTCTGGGTTTCCCTTAATTTTTAATTATAATTTTTTGTTAATGTAAAATAGGAGAGGACTTACACTAGAGTTGAGAAAAATGGTGAATGATTCTTTGCTTAGTGAATCAAGTTCTGTGTTGTGTTGTGCTGCTTGATTCACAACTTGCATATATAGCTTTTTGTGTTTTAAAATTGGAATTGAACTTTGACAAAGTGAGTTGGTATTCAATAGAAATCTTTATGATGCATATTTTAGAGGTGAAATTCCAAGTTTGACCAAAGAGTAAAATCAAAAACACCTGTGAAGCTAAATCTAACTTTTCTTTTCAACATTATGTTACCCTTTAGGAATTTTCCTTTCTTTGAATTGAATCAATGACAATGGCTGCTATGCATTAAGGTTCATATAACGCAAGGTGACCTTGTGGGGAAGGGAGTGATCGTGTCATGGGTGACGATGGATGAACCAGGGTCGAGCAAAGTGCGTTACTGGAGTAAGAACAGTGACAAGAAGAAGACTGCAGAAGGGAAAATTGTTACTTATAGGTTCTTCAATTACTCATCTGGGTTTATTCATCACACCACCATCAGAAATTTAGAGGTACTTCTATTTTCCATTATATAAATGTTGTTATTTTTTGCCCAGATAAATGCCAATGTAGAGAAGCCTGTGAGAGAAAAGAAAAAGGGCATTTTGCTTTGTAAATCAATTGTTGATATGTGTGCTTCTTTTGGGGCAGTACAACACCAAATACTACTATGAAGTTGGCCTTGGGAACACAACACGGCAATTTTGGTTTGTAACCCCTCCAGAAATTGGCCCTGATGTACCATATACATTTGGTCTCATAGGTAAGTGTGTTTTTCTGTCTAATTAATTTGAAGTTGCTGTATGAGCTGTCATTTGTAGAAGCATATTCACGTTTATCAGTTGTCTTTAAAGTTGGTGGCTTCTTAATTTCACCTTGCGTTGGATGGTTGGATATATCTACTTTTTCTAGACAAGTTTACATATCTTTTAATTTAACTCATAATGTAGACAGTGGTAGCAGGTATATGGTCTTTATTACCATGAATGGTTAAACATGTGCCATTAATTTGGGGAGGAAAAGTCTATATGTCTGTGTCCTAATAGGCCAATATGTTTGATGTAAACTGGTTTGGCATACTTTTGTAGGGGATCTTGGTCAGAGTTTTGATTCAAATAAGACGCTTTCTCACTATGAATTGAGTCCAAGTAAAGGAGAAACTGTACTGTTTGTTGGAGACCTCTCTTATGCGGATAACTACCCGAATCATGATAATGTTAGGTGGGATACTTGGGGAAGGTTTACAGAAAGAAGTGTTGCTTATCAACCATGGATATGGACTGCAGGGAACCATGAAATTGATTTTGCTCCAGAACTTGTAAGCTTCTCATACGAATTGACTTTATTTGGTTTTAACCATCTGAAAAACTTTTCTTTCTATTTTTCAACTATAAATTTTAACTATCGTTTAATGCACTTTTCCCACTCCAAATATTGGTAAGAAGTGGGTTTTTAACGTAGATCAACACTTTGTTGCAGGGTGAAACCGAACCTTTCAAGCCTTTTACCCACCGTTACCATGTTCCTTACAAAGCATCTCAGAGCACTTCACCCTTCTGGTATTCTATCAAGAGAGCTTCAGCACACATCATTGTCTTGGCCTCATATTCAGCATATGGTAATGCCCAGATATATCTTTTGCATTATACATACTTTTGTAGAGAACACTGGTTGATTCCATGATTTCAGATGAACAAAGTTCTATTTGTAATAATTTCACCTTAAAAATCAGCCATAATTTACAACAGAAAGATCAAATTCTGAAAAATAATTTCAGTTCTTAGATCTATATCTATCTATCTATCTGTATGTTTGTATCCACTTAAAGTGGAATGTTATTGTTTATCTAAAGCATGATGTGACTACTTTTAAAGTGGTATCTCTTTTGTTGTGACAATCTTCGTTATTCTCAGGCAAATATACACCACAATACAAATGGCTTGAACAGGAGCTACCGAAAGTTAACAGGAAAGAGACTCCTTGGTTGATTGTTCTCATGCATTCACCTTGGTATAATAGCTACAATTATCACTATATGGAAGGGGAAACAATGAGAGTAATGTACGAACCCTGGTTTGTGGAGTACAAGGTTGATGTTGTGTTTGCTGGTCATGTTCATGCCTACGAACGATCTGTAAGTGATAAAACTTGGCTTCTTAAGCTACTCTTCTGTTCTTCATTTGAAATTTCTAATGCTTCTGAAAGCCACCAGTATCAATCAATCTACCATTGGCTTGCATTCTAACTAGGAAAGATAACTATGCAAGTAAAAGCCAGCTTCTGTCCCTAGAAGTTAAGAGGGAAAAAGCTACAAAAATATTGCACAAATAATGCACTTCAATAATCTCTTTTGAATTTGTATCTGATTGATGGGCTACTATGTGTCAGGACCGTGTTTCTAACATTGCATACAATATTACAAATGGTCTTTGCACTCCTGTGAAAGATCCATCAGCTCCTGTATATATCACCATTGGTGATGGAGGAAACCTTGAAGGCTTAGCAACCAAGTAAGTTCATTATACGTAACATGTTGATTCTTGTCACATTTCTCTTTACTTTTATGCCATCAGACAAACTTCTCCATAAGAACTTCTAGAAGGAAAAAAGAATGAGTTTTTTCATAAAATATAATTAATTTATATATGAGAGAGTCTTTACACATTAGTTTATGCATAAACTAATTTTAATATATTGAAAAACTCATACGAACAACATTTGGACCGCAGCATGACGGAACCACAACCAGAGTACTCTGCATTCCGAGAGGCCAGCTTTGGACATGCCATTTTTGACATAAAGAACCGAACACATGCTCACTACAGCTGGCACCGAAATCATGATGGACTTGCGGTGGAAGCTGATCATATTTGGTTATTCAACAGATACTGGCACCCAGTTGATGATTCCACTACTCATTTTTCACATTAATTTCCACATTCACTGGTCTTGTCTTACCAGAAGAATACATAATGTGATGTCAATAAATTCATCAGCCGCCAATTACTTGTGTTCTGATACCGTCAACTTTGCTTATCAGTGTCTCTGAATCTGTGAATCTGTGTTACATTTGCTAAATTCAAATTGCTTGCTTCTATTCTGAAACACTTTTCACTCTTATCCTATCATTTTATGTAGCACTGCACAAAACACAGATAATATAGTTCTGCATCAAATCCATCATCCAATATGCTTCTGAAATCTCATCACATAATAGAGTTAAATGGAACTTGATGACTAGATATGTAATTGCAAGCAACCCAGATAGATATATCAACCTTGGTCTGCACATTGACTTGTTTAACTTGAGTCCACATGAGCTCAAATTTGGTGTTACCCGGCCCATTTAATGTGGACCTAGACATGTTAGCCCATTTATCCTATGAGTTTATTTAGTTTGACGTGTAAGCTTGCGGACCAACCAATTTAATCCATATTATATATATATATATATATATATATATATATATATATATATATATATATATATATATATATATATATATATATATATTAAAACATAAGTGATTATTTAAAAAATTAAGAAAAGAGTAAAACATTTTCTCTTTCCTTCTAAAATATTTAAAACTCTGCATTAGTATCTTTAAAATACTTTTAATTTGTTAAAATGGTGCTTTATAAAGGGAAAATATGATTTTGACAGCATACGTGGCACTCCTATCAGGATTTTGATCTTAAATGTTGATGGAGATTGAGAGAGTTGTTTTTTATGACTTTATGCTAAATGTTTTTAGTGAAGTGATTATTTACCTTCATGGACCTCTAATCATCTCGATCAATGTACGTGGAACTCGTAACATTGTTACATGGTTTTAATATAACTTAAAATAAAGGTTTTAGGCGTTGATTATTATTTTGAGTCGTTGCAATCTTTACATTGAATTGATGAGAATTTTAAGAAAAATTTTGTTGATCATCATGAAAAATCTTTCACTTTCTATTAATTTATTTCTTTACATAAATTAGTTACAAAAGAATATAATTTTTATATTTTTTCTTTTGCCTTTTGTTGTACGAATTAATGAATTATAATTTCGAAAATGTTGAAAATAGTTTTTTTTTTAAAGTATAAACCCACTTAGAAAAGGTACTTTAACCTTCAAGCTAGCTTTTAGACAAAAGAGTAATGTATTTGAGAATAAGTAATCGTGTAAGATTTACTCATTTAATTGAGTTTCCTTATATAGGATTCAAACAATAATAATAACCCAAAAATTAATAATTGATATATGATATTATAATAAATAAAAGATATTATAACAAATAAAAGATAATAAGATAATAAATAAAGTGGTTTTAATGGATTTGAGTTCTAGTAGGTACAAAAACCCCCAAACTCGGATGTCAAGTTCCTTTTAGGAATACAGGTTAAACGATTTTAAAGTTGAGTTGATCATTTCATCATGTAGACGAGTAGTGTTCAATTTGAATCCCATAAATCATTATTCAGTTAGACATAGATATATTCGTGAGATTTACTCAGTAAAGCCTAAAAATTTTAGGAAAAGGAAAGAGGAGTTCGGTAAGGTTCTCATTAACCCCTGAGCTCAAGAAGGTCGTCCTGTAAAGACCAGAACTTGGTTGATCTGGAAAATAATTTATCTTTGTCATATGTATGTACTATGATTATGAAGTTACAAATCATCTCGCTTATAGACTATGCAGTTGTTAGTAAACTATGCAAATGTTATATTCGTGATGCAGATTTTGATAATTTGTACACACAAATAAGGTATGTATACTCCTGTGATCCCAAGTAAGGTAGATGCAGGTTTTCATAACCCATATACTTGAGTAAGGTATGTATAATTCATATGACCCTAAGTAAGATAGATTTGATGACTAGTATACTAGAGTAAGGTATGTATAACTCATATGACCCTGAGTAAGGTATATGCATGTTTTTATAATTCGTGTAACTCCAAGTAAGGTATGTATAACTCGTGTGATCCTGAATAAGATAGATGCAGTATGTATAACTCATGTGACTCCGATTAAGGAACATCATTTTATACCCATTTGTTTGAGTTAAGGATAATTTTATACTCATTACTACTCCAAGTGGAACGTCATTTTTATACTCATGTGATCCCAATAAGGTATATTCCCAAGTAAGGTTATATTATATTTGTATACTCGTGTACCTCGAATAAGATTATATTACATTTTTATATTGTGACCCCGAGTAAGGTACAACTTTTATACACATATTATCCCAAGTAAGGATATAATTGGTTGCTCGAGTGCGTAATTCCTCAAGGATTCGTGATGGATAGGCAAAATAACTATTAATCAAGGATCCATGTTGTAAAGTGACTTGTATTGCATGTTAGGCAACATCGAGGTGCAAATTCAGTATAAAATTTGATACTTTGACGTATCGTTCCATGAAATTGTGGAGGGATTCATCCTTACCGTGTTTCACACTTTCTAAAGTCACCAAAGTGGTTTTGTGCATATTACTAACTATAAATCTAACTCGAAATCTTCTTGTTAACACATAAAATGAATTGATAGAGTTATATGGTAAAAAGTTGTACCATCATAAGGCTAGTCCTCGCAACATGGTAGGAAAAAACTCAGCATAGGTCTGCTCTAATGTTAATATACACATTTACATGTACTTTATACATTGCTAAATATTCTTCTAGATTTGTCGAGTCATCGTACTTCTCTAACATGAGTGGTTTCTAGTCAACTGGGAGAGGGGTTTCCATGATTCTTGGAATGAATGGTGACCGTTATCCTCCTTGCAATTTTTTCTTCTTCATGTATGATGGGAGTGTGTAGGTTAAAGCCGAGATGGGGCTTCCACTATATGTTCTCTTGGAGGTGGGAGTTGAACAATTGTTTTGTTAGTGTATTTGCACCTGTCATTCTCCCTTGATTGACTCCTTCTTTTTTTACTTGGTGACTTGGCATTTTGTCTAGAAGGGTTTCCTGACCTGTACTCGAGTTGACTTTTGGCTTTTTTCGTATTTTGGATCATTAAGTGTGTTTTGATGGTTGGTGCTAATGACTTTTGGGTTCGCACTTGACCCGATGTTGTAATATCTTCCAACTGCATGCTTAGCTTACTCGTTCAAACTGTTTGATGAAGACCTTTAACTCGTTTCATAAAGTTTGGAGCTCGGCCTAGTATTATTTTTGGAGTTTTTTATAGCTTTTTATAGGATTATCTGGTGTTGTTTTCATACTAACTCTAATTCTTCTACTGCTTTTTGTTGGATTTACGAAAAGTTTAGTGTTATTTTGTTCTTGCATATTCTTTATCTCCTCATGGTTTTATTTTTTTTACATTCATCCATATGTTTTTTGAGGTTGTTGAAAACAATTGTTGGATTCATTCATCGTTTGAATTTGATATTATCTGGCTTGGAATCGTTTCACCGAGACCTATAGGCACAAAATGTTCTTATCGGACTAGAGAAGATCGACAAAAGGATATGAGGTTAGACTGAGAATATTGGTAGATCAGATTTCAAGCTGCAACTTCAAGAATATTGAAAATAACTTCCTTTATAAAGAGGATAAGTCCACTTACAAAAGTCTACTCAGATTTTATAGTAGGGAGTAGTATATTTAAGAATGAATGATAAGATAATATTTATTCCTAACTAAGTCTTCTTATATATGACAAATAGTGATAACTTAAAAGATAATAATATACATCAAATAGTAATAACCTAAAAGATAATAAATGATATATGATATTATAATAAATAAAAGATAATAAGATAATACATAACGAGATAATAATAAAATGATTTTAATGGATTTGGGTAGATATTTCTTTCATTTATCTCTCTTATTTTTGTTTTACTTCTTAAAAAAATTAGCTGGAGAACCAAAAATAATTAGATAAATAAGTATCTATAAATAATAAATAAACAAAAGTTTTATAGACCATAAAACTCAACTTTATATATTTTAGACAAATGTATTTTACCCTTAAGAAGTGAAACTCCGAACTATTTGTTTACATAAAATTAAAAATAAACTTAATTTAATCAATGTCTTTGAATATTAAGAGTTAGTTAATAAAGAGTTTGCTAATAAACTTAATTTAAAATTAATAGTTAGTTAGTAAACTTTAAAAAGTTACACATATATATTTGTGTGGTCAATTCGTTTACCTTTTTATCCATGTCGTGAGGAGTTTGTCTTTGTCCGTACGAGGTAACGAAGTCCACGTTTGCCAAAAATGGACAAAGCTAAGTCACGGATCAAGCAATTACGATCAAATATACTATTCTTTATAGATAATAAAAATATTACAATCAAGATAAAAAAACAAACATTATAAGTATATCACTATATATCCACTCTAAGGGAGCATTGATTTGATTGAATGGAGGTAACAGTAGCTTCTAAAATTAAACATGGTTTGATTTGAATGGAACAAAGGCATTTCTTGCACGGTAATTCAGCGTACTGTTCAGAATTGTTATGGTCATTGGTCAGCGCAGTGCATTAGGATTATTTATTAGATGTAGTGATAAGAGAGTGGACAAGAACAATTAGAAGATGGAGAAAGGTCTTGTCAAGCCAAGTTCTTTTCAAGGAGACAGAATGGTGTCTTTAGATAAAATTGTCAATTCTGTAGTTTCTTCAAAAGGGTGTTTTCTTCCGCTACCCTAAAGCTAAAGCTCACTCATTTTTATCTATCTACCATAGTTCTTATATATCTCCTCTTTCTTTCTTTCTGGATTATACCTTCTCTCCATTATTGGAAGGATGGAAGGAGAAGTGAAGATTTCAGCAGAAAATAAGCAGAAAGGAAGGTTCCAAAGAATATGTGTGTTCTGTGGTAGTAGGGTTGGATATAGGTCTTCATTTAGTGATGCAGCTCTTGAGCTTGGTAAATTGCTGGTAATTGTTTTTGTGTTGTTACTTGCTAATTCACAAATTGGTTGTGTCCCTAGTTTTGTTCTTCTCCCTTGCACAACTCTTGCATGTGATTGTGTGTTCATTTTTTTTTTTGTAGGTTGAAGGGAAGATTGATTTGGTTTATGGAGGAGGAAGATTAGGACTAATGGGTTTGATCTCTCAAACTGTGCTAAAGGGAGGTCGACATGTTCTAGGGTACAATTTTTTACTTTTCTTGATAGATCATAACAGACTCCCTTTAATTCATGAACTTCATTGTTTATTGTTTATCTTGTCCTTGTTAGTGTGATTCCAAAAGCTCTGCTGCCTCGTGAGGTACAATTATCTTCATCCTTATTTACTTTCATGATCTGCTTCTTTCAATCTGAATTATCCATCATGAAAGGTCTACACTGATCAAAGCCTACAATTAGATATCTGGGGAAACTTTTGGAGAAGTGAAAACAGTTGCAAACATGCATGAAAGGAAGTCAGTGATGGCTAAACATGCTGATGCGTTCATTGCCCTTCCTGGTATATTATAGACACAAAATTTCAAAGTTCTTTTCCGCATTGAAACATTCTTATAGTTATTTAAGTTCAATCAAAGTATCAAACTGTTCAGGAGGCTATGGAACCATGGAAGAGTTGCTGGAGGTGATAGCCTGGTCCCAACTAGGGATACATGATAAACCAGTAAGATTATCTTAGTGTGCTTCTGGGATGAATGAATACATTTGTAAGCTTTAAGGAGTCCTAACGTCTGATAAAAACTCAAGAAATATTTGTGAGGTCTACTATGTTTTGTAAATGAGAACATGATGCTTGAAAAGCTGGAAATATTTCGAAAGGCTTATTTTTTCATGAACAAACACAAATCAAATTGAATTTTGGACATGGGTTTTTTACTCCTTTAATTTGTTAATAATATTTGTCGTTCTAACTGTGAATCTGTAGGTGGGTTTGTTGAATGTAGATGGGTATTTCAACAGCTTGCTTACCTTATTTGACAAGGGAGTGGAAGAGGGTTTTATAGACAACTCTGCGAGGAATATTGTAGTCATAGCAAACACACCAGAAGAACTGATTAAGAAAATGGAGGTATGATATTAGACTCAACATGCTGATTTTGACCATGTCCAAGATAAACATTTTTGGCTGAGCTCCTTTCCGAATTGTTTAGGAGGACAAGAAAACAAAGTTTTATTTTTAGGTAAGAAGTAGTGGACTATTTTTCTTGTTTATTCATTTGTTTGTTTTGTTTCTTCCAGGAATATGTTCCCAACCATCAGAAGGTTGCATCAAGACAAAGTTGGGCAAAAGACCAATTATTATTAGAGACTACTGAAACTGGGGAGGTCCTGTGATCTTAGATGTCCATCATCAATATGCATATAAAATTTAAGATTCTACATCATTAAGCATGAAACGTGGATGTTCAAAATCAATTGAACAATACTAAATTTAGTGAACTTTGAATATTTCCCTGAAAGATCCATTGGCTCCATCATTAAATTAGATATATTATTTATGATTGTTTTCCGGTACAGGGAAGGGTCATGGACCCCATCCACTTGGTCCCTAGTTTTTGTCTATATGAAAAAATTGTTGGTTGGATTGTGATGTGTGAATTGAAGCCTCTGGATTTGACTCCATTGCCGGTCCCATTATACAAATGATACCTTTGTTTTTTTAGACTCTTTCAACCTCAGAGAGAACCTATGCAATGGACTTCACAATTAATTGGGTAACATTTCCTACTCAACAAGGGACACCAAGATAAAGAGATATATCTGAAAATGATATCCTCGTTAGTATAGTTCTTATGGTGCAAAAAGGACTATACAATCTAAAGATTTCTGGGTTTTTTTTTTTCCTTTTTCTTTTTTGCGTGATTGCCTGTTGAAATTACAATTTTTGTCAAAAAAAAACACCCCCTTAAACAACATATTATAATAATAGATATTATTATTATAATGAATATGTTTTTAAACACGGTTGCTTTAGTATCATGTTTCTACTTATATAAACACCCATGTATATCAAATACTCCATCAACATTTAATATTTCTCTTTTCATCATATCATTTATTATAACTTCTCTCAGATGCCATCTTCATGTTAGATATGCATGTACCAAATGAAATAAAAGTTTACTCATAAAGGAAGGGGGTTGGGGGAATGTGGAGTCCTTTTTCATTAGTAGAACACTAGAACCAGACTTTATATAATAGATGCACATTAGAAAACGAAGGCTGACGGATTGAGAAATAAACAGAAAACGATTTCATTCTGGCTGTACATAAAAATCAAATATGATGAGCGATGAATTCATCATTATGACCATAAAATGATGTGAAGGGGCTATCACTTATTGGGTTGGACGAGATCTAATAAGAAATTAGTACCAGAAGGTGGTGCTTGGGACGTGGCTGCATATTTAGGTGTAGGTCAAATTTACAACACGGGATAACATGCATAGCTTCAACAACCCAATCTAACAATCTCATTTCACAGCACTTATTGCACCAAACCATAGTCTTGCATACAATTTTCCTTTCATACTATTAAAAAAACATTATTAAAGAGAATATTAGTGATCCTTAAATTACAAACCATCAAAGGAACAAGATGTATAATTAGTAGCCACAGCCTACAAGGTTACAAAGAAAATGAATATTTTACAGGGTTATCCACATATACATTTCTGAGGAACAAGTATTTACGGAAATCGTCTACTGCTACAATAGAAGAGAAGAATTTTTTCAGTGGGGGGAAAGAGTGAGAAGATTGCCTTAATGGAGATGCTACAGCTTTTAAAATCATACACGCACATGGACATCTAGCATTTAGAATCTACAGGGATTACAGCATGTTACAGTACTGGTACAAGCAGAGGAATAAACAATTGTTGAAATCATGCAGATCAATGCTGTCAGAAGCATTTCCGGTGAACAATGGAAGGTCCGGTTTCATCATAGTCTGCCTTGGTTATATGCTGATTTTGAGGGAAAACCACTTTGGCAAGTATTGCACCTCCAACCCATGCAGAATACATGGTTAAATTTTCTGGCATGTATTCTGGAGGCTGCAGTCAGCCAGAGATTATCCACCAGCGGAAAGATAAGTTAAAATAATGGTAGTATCTTTAAGGTTTTTAACGTCGTTCATATAAAAGAGGCAAAAACCTTTTTTTTCTCTCTTGTCAAGTTTTGATCCAAAAATCTACCAAGGTTGAAAAAAAATTATATTCATATATAACATTTAAGTTATAATTTGAAGTTACTTTTAAAAGATAACCAAATTACCTTAACGAGGGTAGGTTGAACAGCAGATGAACTTAAGCTAGATTCTTTCTGAAATCGCTCTTCAAAACCTGCAATGACAAGAGGCATTAGCCTGTCAGAAGGGACGCACAACAAAAGCATTGCCATAGATGAGAAATCTAAGTGTTGTGGGATAACCCCATCTTGTCAGCAGAAAATTGAATATATTGATGTAATACAGAAATGGAGTTTGTTTGCTATCAAAAAAACCTGAATTCCATCTGCAACTAAAGGTAAAACTTAAATTTCATATACTATAATAAAAACTATTTACAAGTAGAGAATAAAACCCAAATTCTGTGAAATAAAGAAAACAGGGAACAGAATTACAGCTGTTTGTTAATATTTAGTGGCCAAAGGATATTCCACCAGATAAGTTCATATTAAGATTTCCATCCACAAATATTATTTCAAAAATATGTTACGAGCCCTATGCAGCTTTGTTGGACAGTGCAGGACCAAGTGAGAAATGTGATGGATGAGAGGAAGAGGGAGAGCAGGGGGCTGAAAAACAATTATCAACCCGCATGCTGTTTAATAAATATTGATGGAAAACCAAATATAAGTACATTTTGTTTAGATGGGAAAATATAGAAAAATTATAACAAATTAGAACTTCACATCAAGCTTATCCTAAATTCACCCGAACTAATAAAGAGAAAAAAATTACCTATCATAGAAGCCGTGCCACCACAAACCACTGTATTTTCCAGCAGTTGTCGTTGATTATCAGATGACACAGTTGAAATAGCACGGACAAGCTGATCAACAATGCCATGAGCCTCTACACCCAATAGACACGGCTGGAATAAAGCTTCCCCAACCGTATATCTTTCTCTCCCAATTGTTATCACCTATAACATAATACAACTTTCAGATGAAGTCAGATATTGAAGATCCATTTATGGAACTTAGAATATAAAAGCACATTATTGGTAATTTCTATCCCATCAAACCAGCCTGTTTATTTCAAAAATGAAATAACCTTCAGGCTGGTCCAGAATTTTGCAAAAACAATTTTTTTCGTCAACCCTGACAAAAGCAGCAGAGCCATTATATAGAGAGTCAGCTCCGTCATTACGAAGACATACTGTTACACAACCTCTCCTGGTGGAATGTGAAAATTACTGATATGACTTTTAACCAGAGAACTTACAATGGTTTCCTCAAAAAGCTTATTAAAATATATAACACGGTAAAAGAGATCTGTATGATAAGCTAAAAATCATATTTTCAAATCATGGATAGTTGAAAACAGAATGTATTCTAAAGTAACATAGTCACCACCTCATTTCTGCTCATAAGTTTTGCTTAAATCAATCAATTCTCTGCTTACTGATTCTTATTCCCTCTTTCATTGTCATTTCCTTCCACGTCTATCAATCAGTATTACTAGCCAAAACTATCAGAAGAAATCAGAAAGCAGACCTGTCCATCAGGAAGGGTATGCTCCTCCACAGGACAAAAATATTTAGTCTTCTGATAAGCTAACTCATCTACAGCACAGCATGAGTACAGCTCTTTTATTTTCTCCACATCAGACATACTGATATTTACTTGTGGATTGGACTTGCCAAGTTCTTCAGCCAGGAAATTAGTTAGATCAATACCTCCAAATTCAAATCTTCTTGAGGCAATATGGTGAACAGCACCCTCAATTACTGGTGCAATATCTAGTCATATAGCCAAAAAAATCATGACGCATAGAACAACCAGTAAGAACATGTTCATATTTGAACAAACACTCAGACATCTATTCATGTACTACAATTGTGCAAACAATATTCAATGGAACACCATTAGAATGACCATGAAATGATAATTTAAACCATTGCATTTATATTTCTGGCCTTGTTCTTATATTTATCAAGTTTAGTTTAAAAAAATATAAAGTATCAGAAAAAATGTAATTGAATTTATTAATCTTGGGAAGAATTTATCTGTTTTTATTTTCAATAAGTTTTAAATAATATTTTCCTCATTCCATTTACCAATTGCACTCATAATCAAAAGTTATTCATGATGTCCTGTGAAAGTTAAAATATAGTAATTCCTCCCAGTTATCTGCAGAAAGGAATAATATGGAAAATCACTTGTTTCACCTTTCAATTTGATTTCATTAGGAAAACAAGATGTTTCAATAAAAAATGGACTTGTGGAACAAGGAACCCACAATAAATTCATCCAAGGAGCCTAAGCTATGTTATTTGATAGAGATCCAAAAGACATGATTCCTTCCATTCAACCATGCAGCTATTAATGCAGAAGGAATATTGCATAAGGGTGGTATATAGAATGGTCAAGGCATAAGGAATATACACGAATTCGTATATAAGAAATGGAGAAAAGTTGTTTCATCATTTTGAATCTTTTCAGTTGCAAGAGGACTAACTTCATGATACTTAATTTTGTTATTGACATAAGATAAAGAAAATAAAATATTATTTCTTTACTCTAGCAAAATAAAAAATACAAGACATCTGAAATCCCGTTACCCAGAGACCCTGTGGTACATGAACACCATAGGCTAAGTGATAGAGATAACATACTCCCACATCAAAAACAGACAGCCTGATTCAGACAGCAAGCAGTTGAAAGAAAATATCTATTCAATGTAGAACCTATTTGCATAATTCAAATGAAGTTTCTACCGCTTCAGGTGTGGGTACCTATTTTTCCATGTCCAATATCAACAGTGCAGCCTGAGATACGTCCCACAGCATACAGTGATAACACTGCTTGTTCTGAAGCATAAAACCCTGATATGTTGAATGTTTCAAACATTAATTGCACCAACTGTTCTTTGTTGGCCTGGAAAATTGGAAAACAGTAACGCATACAACAATTAAGAAAATATATATAATATTAACAAAACAAGAATCCTAACTTATTACTGGCAATTCCATTTAACAAAAGGTTGCAAGGTTAGTTCAGATAAAAAGGAAACAAAAACCTACCAATGAATAATACATTTGATATGCATACATAGAAAAGGATATCTAAGAATAAATATGTGCATGGGAAAAGAGAAAGCTGGCAAGTTTGAGAAACCTTTGGGGTATAAAGTGGATCTGTAAAGAGTATTTGACCTTCATTGCCAATTTCCCATCCCAGGCCAGTATATAAAACATGGTGCAACAAATCCTCAATGGCGTCCCAATCTCTAATAAATCCCCGCACAACTGGGTCAACGGTGACACTGTCAGCCAGTGAATTATCAGTAGCTGATCCATCATCAAGCAGTTGTTTCATTTTGGTGGGAATTATCTGAGTCATGAAAAGAGGCTCAATGAGGCATTCTGAGACAGTTGGGTACTAAAATTGACATGATGATTAGTCAAAAGGTATACTTGAGAATCGCAGAGTGGATTATAATTATGCATTAAAGGGGATGAAACCTCTCCAAGTATGGAGATTTTCCGTGTCTATTCTAGTTTAAGACAGATAATAACAATAATGTACACATATGCGTAGAAACAATATTATAGCCTGTATAATTACATTACCAATTAAAGATATTTGAATGCTAACCTGAATTCACATTTTTCAGGGGGAACAGTTTGAGGTTGATAGAACCCTGATTATTGTGAGCTTTCTACCCACTTTCTATGAAATTATTGTGAGTGGGTAAGTAAATTTGCTGAATGGGATAGCAAATCCATAACCCCAAGCAATAAGTAAAAACCTCTCAATTAGCAATTAACCATAGATCTTGAATTTAATTTAATTTTATGAATACCTCATACTATTCAGAAACATGGGCGTGTGGAATTGCTACAGTCACTCGTAAGAGTAAATGAAGAAACCCATAGTATCGAACTTGCTCCTGCTACTATTTTTTGCATTCTTCTTCTGTTTACCTTTGAAATAGAAACTCTTAAGACCTTAGCAGCAAATTTGTTGATATAGATCTTAATTTTTTCCATTGACTCCTCCTCTTCTGTTACCATAGCAATCAGTAATATTTTTTAATAAAATACAAGCTTTTCGTGATACCAAATTATGAAGTAAGAGATTATAAATTTCTTATCTCATGAATCAAAATTGACTTACTCTTGCTCTGAACATATAAATTCACAGGAAGTGAGCAGCAAGCTCTGATAATTAGGCTTAATTACCATCCAACTTTTGCTACTGGAAGATGGAAATTCGGGTTAGCATTCAAATTTCTGTAACTATTAATGCAATTATACATACTATAATTGTATCTACTATCCATTACTATTATCGGTCATTCATGTCTTTAACAACAGTTAATTAAGAATGAGAAAAGACCAGCATATTACAAATATATTGAGAGAGAATGAAAGGAAACCATGGCAGGAGTCTGGTCAGGAATTGCAAAACCGGCTTTGAGAAGCTTAGAGCCTACATCCACCACAGCCGCTTCCATCACTTCCTTTATCAAATCTAAACCCTAAACCCTGTATTCTGTCTTTCACAAACAACCTTCACTTATCAATCACCTCACCTCACCTCAACTTTCTTGATAATAGAATCAAATTAAATAAAATAAATAAATAATCAAACTAAAAAAGTATATTTTTTTCTTTTATAGATATTTTGTAATCATGTAATTTACGACTGAAAATGACATGTTTAGTTGTATAGACACCTAATTTAGGGCAACCTCTTGCTTTTTAAAGACATAAGAAATTGTATAAATAACCAGCATGAAGTATTTACAGCACGGGATATTCAACAATTTATTTAAAGTATTTTGATCAATAAAGTTATATAATAATGTTTTGTATGTTATATATATATAATAACAGATATCATGAGATTAAACCTCACGTCAAAAATAATTATGATATTCTTAATATAAATTAGAGAATTTATTTCTTAATTATAAACTAATATATCTATCTTAACCATATATTTATCATTACTCAATATTTTCTATTTGAAATAATATAATAATTATAATTATTTAAAAATATACTTTTAAACATTATAATAAGATGTTGAACCAACAATCTTATAATATACTTCGATAATACATAAATAAATGTCATGAAACATGTATAATATACAATAATAATTATGTATTATATATGACGTATAAAAATTTATTTTAGAGAATTTTTAAAAAATTAACATCTCTTCAATTAAAATATTTATTATAATATATGAACTTAAGAAGATTTTGATATTATATTAAAAAAAATATTTTTTTATCGTTAAATTTTTATAAATAATAATTTAAATATTAATAAGTAATTTGAGGAAAATAAATTAATTTATAATTTTTTAAAAAATTATTAATAATATTAATTAATATAAAAAATATAAATTTATTTATCGATAAAAAAATTTACAAAATTACTTTAAACAGGTGATCCGAGAAAAAAGGAAAAAAAAAGAGTAGAAAAAGAAATTCAGTATACAAACTTTTTATACAACATGGTATTAAAGGATAAAAAAAATGAATATTTTTATAATATAACACATCTACATCCCATACATAATGCAGAAAAATTAACATGTATAAAGGATGAGTGTGGCTAAATTTTCAAAATATTATATAATTATTTAATGATAAAATTATTTTTAAAAATTTGATGTAATAATAATAATAATAACGTTACTGTGTATTTTTTCTAGATTTACACAGTTTTAATATATATATATATATATATATATATATATAATCTTTATTATTATTTCAGGAATAATTTTTAGATTTTTCAATTAAATATTATTTTCTTCTATCAAATTATTTCATCATTTGTTAAAATAAGTGTAATCGCCCAATATTTACTAAGAAATTGATTTTTATTAAAAAATAATCATTACTATTTTTATTTATGATTCTCATGTAGACAGAATTAGCTGGTATTATTAAATTTTTTTATTTATTATACAGTCCTTTCAAAATCATTTTTAAAGTTATCCATTTTTGTTTAAAATTGTATTATTTTCATATAATAGAAACTCACATTTAAAATTGAAATGAAACAAATTATTAGATATTTTCTTACATTTAAACATAATAATAACAACTAACATTAATCATTAAAAAAAGATAGTAAGCTAACACAATATGCACATTATCTTCTTAATATATTTAAAATAATATTATTAAAATTCAAATCCTAAACTATTTAATTAAGAAAAAGAAATTGATATCTTTACTGATATAACATATAAATATTACATAAAATAATTAATTATAATAATAATAAATAATAAATTTAATATTAGTATAATAAAATATAATTATGATAAAAATATAATAATAAAAAATTAAAAGTACTATTACTAATATTATTAAAATAAATTTAATGATAATAATAATGATAATATGAAAACACATTAAATATTAAATATAATGAATATAGAAATGAAACCGTAAAAATACTACTTTATTAAAAAAAATGTCAAATAAATGAATTGTGTTTTAAAATACAATTTCAATATATAATAAAAAAACTATACTTTTAAATATAATTTTAATATAAATTAGTAAAATACGTGTGTTATATATGTCCATATTTTTTATATAATTAGTTTTAAAAAAATAATTTATGTTATATATATATATATATATATATATATATATATATATATATATATATATATATATATATACTAATAAAAATCATGCTTAAGAATATATTTCACAACGTCGTGTTTAAACACGACTTAGTTTTTAAAAAATTACACCAGAAAAATATCGATAATGGCACTTGCCTCAAACGCACAAAAATAAAGAAAAAGAAAATTGATATTCAGTATTTATTTGTGTATAACCTCCGACTAATTCTCCTGCAACTACAACCGGAAAGTAATTTGCTATTTACAAATGTTAATCTTCACGCATGCAACCTTGCCAAATATTTTAAAAAACAAAAACTACAGATTATGGTAGAAAAGTTAAAGAAAGAACAAGATGATGATATTCATCAAAATAACTATACACAACGCCTACACAATCTAGATTCAACAACTGAAAAACTAAAACCAAGTTACATGAAACTTGACCAAATTACATGATCACGTTTTCTTTTATGATCATCAGGCAGTGGCAGATTATCGTCGCCTTCGACGTTGGCAGGTATCGAATTACACAAGTCTCCGTCAACAGCAAAATGGCTATCGCTAACTGGATTCCCCGGTTCCCCATCTATTGTAATCAAATTAGACTGCTCCTCAACTGAGACATCAACGTTGCTTTTCAGTTGCTCCTCAACGGAAAGATTGCTATTCCTTTCCTTGACAGATGGATCTCTTGAACTGGTGGTTTCTTGTGTATCAACCAGAAGGTCTTCAAGGAAACGCTCTGTGTTACGATTTGTCTGAGAAACGAATTTCACATCCAAGATTGAGTTTTCAAAATCTACAACAGAGGAACCAATTGAAAATCCAAGAACGTTCTCTATGATGTTCTCATGGAAGGTTTTTCTAGGGACCTGTTTTTCAACAGAAAGTTCAGTTCCAGCAGACTGTCCTTCCTCGGTGATGCTATCACCAAATGGGGTCTCCTTGTCCTGCAAACCATCACTTTTCTGACCATTGATTTTTCCATTTTCATCTTCTTCAGAGTTGTCAATAAAACCAGTCTCTGGATCGAGTTCAGCGATACTATTAGTTTTCACATACACCTCTTCTTGATCTCCTTTGCCAATGCAAAGTTGGTCATCTTTTTCAGCTTCCTGGGCGGTCATTTCAGAGTGTCTATAATTAGAATCCAGGTTCATCTTAACATTTTCCAAAGTATTGAACGAAGTCAACACTTGGACGTGATTAAATTCCTCACTGCCTGCAAGACGAACAATGTCATTTTTGGCTATCTCACCGTTGCTCTCATGGTCGGCATCATCATCTTCATTTAAAAACTCGGGGGCTTTAACAGTTAGACTTTTTGAATACTTTGGAGAGTCCAACGACATAGAAGATAAAAGATTAGCCAATGCAGAAGATAAAGCTGCATCAATTGTCTGTTTTTCTTTATCTTTCAAAGAACTTGTTTCTTGTCCTAATGCATTACCTTCTTCGTCCTCGCCATCAGGAAACTCAGGAGCTCTAACTACAAGACCTGGGAGCAATTGATTAGGATTTCCCGAATCGGACATGTGAAGAGAGACACATGGTACCTCAGTGTGTAAATGTTTCTCATGATCTGGTTCACTTTCCCCAATGACAGGACAATTGTCACTGGTATTGGCATCTGAATCTAAACAAAAAGCATCAGGAGAAGAAATTCTACAATGTGATGGTAATGCAAAGTTCTGCAAATTCTTGATCAATGTATCAACTTTCCGCTCAACTGTTTGAAGTCTTGCCTCCATGCTGCTCATGGGCACTACCATTTTTTCTTGAAAGCCCAAACAGATTTCTTCTATCTTGTCCATGCGTGATAAAAGCTGTTCCAGGACTCTTTCTACGTTGCCACCCAAAGACAAACCACCATTGCTCTCAGGAATACCAACTTGTGAGGGGACAGCACTACGATTGCACTCCATTTTAGCTAATTCAAAGGGAACAGGACTATGGTTGTTCTTCATTTCAGCAATTTTTGAGGGTACAACAGTGCAAGTGTTGTCCATTTCAGCCGTTTGTGAGGGTACTGCAATGGGGTGACTCTCGATTTTAGCATTTTGTGAGAATGCCTCTGGTTGGGATGAACCCACCCAACCTCCCTTTACCTCATTCAACTTCACTTCTTGAGGATCAGTTATGCTACTGTTTCCTTTCAGCTGAGTTTTAATTACAGAATCACTAGTGACAGTTGCTTCCAAATCATCCCCCGGAGCACGTGGCTTTTCCTTTCTAAGAGCATTTAGATTGCTGAGCCCTGTTGTCTTGGATAATTGCATTAAAGTGGGAATAAACATAGCCATGAGGGAACTGCCAGACGAGTTTTCATCATGCTTTTCTTCGCTTTCTGATTCAGCTGAATCAACAGGATCAGCAAACAAAAAAATCTCATCAACATAAACACAGCCTTTATTCTGAAGCGAGAGCAGCCGAATAGTAACAGAAATGCAAGGATTTGCATCATCAATCTCTGCTGTAGCCTCATAAATATCCTGGAGACAGGAAAAGAGGGCACTGAAATAAGAAAATCAACACATCGGTATGGTACCACCATCTAATATGGCACATTGAGAATCTAAAAGTTAAGAGAAGACAATATTGTTTATTATAGAGAAAAGTACACTCCCCTGTCTTCCTAAGAGATGGAATGTTAGTTTCTACTGCATTTTGATAAAATGAACCTTCAGGAACAAGCCTAACAAAGAATTTTTCCTGACTGTTAAAATAACCAATACCGAATTTTGAATAACCTACTATCAATTCAAGGATTTAAAAGATAAATTTTGCAAGAAGCACTAGCAGGAAAAGAGAATAAGGTTAGACGAATTAATTTCTCCCATAGGCTAAAATCAACTTAGTATTCCCATTCTACAAAAACACTCTGATCTATCTTCTCCAAAAGCTTATATAAACTGATTTTAGCTTATAAGAAAAACACAAATCATTTTTCATTTTCTTCCTAAGAAAATAATTTAACCGAAGTCCACACAAAACCAGAGTAATATTTCAAACACACTACTATCATCTCATCTCATGCCATGGAGTTTACAAGTCAATAGTAGGGGCTCAAATCAAACTGGTCCTAACTAACTACGCATACAGCAAAAAAAACTTTGCATGCAACTAGTTTAAGTTACCGAAACTTCGCATGCATCAATCTCTCCTGAATGGAGCAGTGTAATTTAAGCATGACCCTTCACCAAAAATTGGCGCAGCAAACAATTTGGTCCACATCTACTATTTACTTCATTTATTACTATTTACTCACTAACGAAAGCCGACAAAATTGGGAAATCACTTATCGGAATACCTGAGGCTGATATTTTTCCGTGGAATTGAGGTAGGATTTCGTGTGCGACGCGACGTTCGGAGAATCAGGAACTTTGACCTCAACCCAATCATCTTCAGTTTTAACATTATCGACACTGAGATGTTGAACAGCCGGGGAACGAAGAACACGATCGTCTCTAACAGCAACACCGCATCGAACTGTGCAGAGATAGTCGTTGTTGGTGCGGGCGTTGGGCGCAAAGTATATCTCGTAGACGCGAGCAGTGCTTCGAACGTAGATTTGTCTGAGCTCGTGTTTCTCCGGAAAAGTAACTGCACATAAAGTAACGAATTAATTAAAAGCATGAGTGAAATTGAAGTAGAGGGAAGGGAAGAGAAGAGAGGTTACTCTTGATCTCGCAAGGAGCAGAATCTGGCGAAGGAGAATGAAGAAAGAGAGGAGTGGGATCGGTTTGGCAATCGTCGTTGAAGAGAGAGGAAGAGGATTGGAAAGTTATGCAGTCGCGGATAGAGGCGGAGGAGGTAATGGTCCAGTTGCTTTGGGAATTCCAATTTCCCTCCATAATAATATACACACAAATCAAGAAGACGAAGAAGATGAATCAGAGGCTGCAAGGGTTGTTGGCCGAGAAATCAAGCAAACTGCAGAGTACCAGGGACATGTTTGTTTCTCAGTCTTTATTTCTACGCTATTAAATAACTTTTTCCTTATCATTATTTTAAAAAATTAAGTCGTATTATTTTTTGTTTTTAATGACTATTATCAAATTATGAAATAATGAAGAAATTTCTTGCCCTTATTTCTACTACTACTCACTCCTATGCTTGATGATATATTTATATTTATTATTATTATTATTATTATTATTATTATTATTATTATTATTATTATATCAAGTCAGTTATTATTATTTTTTTTATATTGAATGTATTAAAAAATATGATAATAGTGTTTTTTTTTGTTTCATAAGATTAGAAATAAAACTACTATGTGATAATGTTAGAGTAAATTCGCTTCTTGAAATTATATACTTTGTTTGATATAACTCTTTTTTTTTAAACATACTTATTTTAATAAAAAAAAGTATTTATTGTAATTTTTTACAAATTATTTACAATTTTTTTAATTAAATAAAAAAATGCTTAAAACGTTTTTTTTATAAACTATTTTAAACTACATATATGCATGAAAAATAATTAATGAGAATATAGATAACATTTGATAAAAAAAATTGTTTTTATAATTATATCCAAAAACAATATATTTTATACTTTTGTTGAAATCACTAATAAATAAATCAATTTTTAAGAGCACTTTTTTAGCCTGCATAAACTCACTCATATAAATTAAAAAGTGAACTAATTATTTGATTTCTGTAATTTTATTCTAGATTATAAAATTTTTTTTATTTTAGTGATTATTGAATAATCATAATAATAACATATGTTTATAAATTAAATAAAAAGGTTAAGAACTAAAATAAAAACTTAAAAAAAATCCATTTTAAAAAATCCATTTTAATTTTTAAAAATTTTCATAACATGATTCGATATATGATTTCACAAATTAATTGATAATTTATTCTACTTAATAAACTGTTTATATTTAAGCAAACATCAGGTAAGTAGTTATTTTATATTTTTCTTTCTTTTTTTTTAAATCTAAATAGACTTATTTTTTCTTTATTTATAATTTTAACTTTTTGTTTGATGTTCCTTTAATTTTCTGGGGATTTCAAGAAATTTTTGTGTTTGATTAAAATATGTTGTATTATTAATATCAACAGCTTTTAATTATATTTATGTAAAATTAATAGGTTACTTGTTTATACTAGTTTTGTATCTCTCGTTTCAATCCAACCAAATAGACTTATTTATTCTTGATTATAAAAGATACATTAGAAAAAAAATTATTTCTTTATCCATAATAGTAATGAGTGTTAGAAAAGAAGGCTGAGATCAAGAGGGGAGTAAATTTATCTTTGAAAGATTTTCGCAATTAACAGATTATCTATTTGTAAAAATAAGATTTCAGATTTGTTCTTGAATCACAAAGCAAGCAATCAAAAAATAAACGCAGCAACAGAATTAAAGAAGAGAAAGGTTTAGAAAGATATCACCGGTGTTTATACTTGGTTCACCCAATACCAGTGGCTACGTCCAGCTCTCCAAATCTGGGTTCCACTAGATCAAATGTTTTACAAATTACAATCTTACACTTAATCTACCACAAGAACCACAATTCCAGTTCTCGCACCTAACATTTCACCAAGAACCAAATTTCGATTCTCGACAACCTCTACAACCAAATTTCGATTGCAGAGAAACCAGTGCCCACAATTTCGAGCACCAACACCTAACCTTTCACCAAGAACCAAATTTTAGTTATTGACAACCTCTACAACCAAATTCCAACTAGCAGAGAAACCAAGTGCCCACAATTCCAGGCACCAACACCTAACCTTTCACCAAGAACCAAATTCCAGCTTCTGACAACCACTACAACCAAATTCCAAACTGCAGAGAAACCAAGTGCCCACAATTCCAGGCACCAAACAATACAGTAAAAGAATGAAAAGAAATGAAAAGAAAAAACTAGAATGCTCAAACCAGTTTTATGCAATTCTGCAGTAAGTGTTTCTTCTCCAAAAGAAAGCAATTTGCTTCAAGAAAGAATTTCAAAGAACTTCACAAAAAACTAGCGCGAATCTTTCTTGAAAGAGTATTAAAGTTTGTTTGTTTGATTGCTAAAGGATTGATGTTCAATTGTATTTTTAAAATGTTCAAGCCAAACTGTTTTTATAGAAGATTTTCAAAACTGCTGGTTTAATCAATCTGTTAAAATAATCTTTTAATCTGTTAAAAGTCTAGTTTTAATCTGTTAAAACTTCTTTTAATCCATTAAAGTGTTCTTGATTATTTAACAAATTTGTTTTAACTGATACGACAACGTTTGTATCAATTAAAACTCTTTACAAAAAATCTTCTAATTTGATTTAATCGATTGTTTCGTGTTTCAATCGATTAAAATACTGCAAAACTTTCTTGTAAAATTTTCCAAGTGATTTTAACTGATAAAAATAAGTTTTAATCGATTAAAACGCTGTGTAGAAATTTTCTAAGTTGTTTTAATCGATTGAAACGTGTTTTAATCGATTGAAAAAGTTCTGATCGGTCATAACTCAATTCTGATCGATCATATCTGATTCTAATCGGTCATAATTGCATTCTGATCGATCATCCTGAACACTAAGTGGATTTATTCGATTAAAACCAAGTTGTATCGATTAAAATACTGCAAAAACACTTCTCTTAACATTTTAAGTGATTTTAATCGGTTATTTCGAAGTTTTATCAGCTTAAAACACCGATGAAGGTTTTCAAAACTTTCTTTAATGAAAACAACCTAGTTATTTCGAAATTATATCAATTAAAAACTTGTTTAAGAAAGCTTTTGTTAAAATACTTTGTTTTTAACTACTTAAACGTTTTTAGAGGCATTTTGCAAAATCTTTGAAGTGAAAAAACCTCATGCAGTGTAAAAGATAAAAATGATTATACTTAAGCATAAGCTGCGGACACACTAATCTCTCTACTCTTTTATCTAAGTGATCTGTTGACAGTTACAAAGTTGACTTTGACTTTATCTTTGACTTCATCAAATCAACAAAATCTTTGTCAGACTATTTCAATAAGATCTTCATCACTTTCAATGAGTAAATAATTTATTTCAACGTGGATGAATAACAAAATGAAAAATATCTAATAATTCATGCCAAAAATTGTATTTTATATTTCATTTCAACTAGCAGCTTTTTCACAAGGACTTACCTCATTCAAAGTCTATTCTATTCACTTCAAGAGATGTGAAAAAACATAAGATTATAAGTTTGAGATAAATACTAAGAAAAACAAAAATTTTACACATTGTAATTTTACAATTTCCTTTCAAAGTGTAAACAAAATATAATTATTTTTAAAACAATAACACGAATCAAGTGATTAAAAAAAAAAAAGAGAAATGGAGAATAAGAAAAATAGATAAAATTTGATTAATGAAAATGCAGAGACCTTAAAAATACATAAGACAATATTTTTATACTCAAAAGAAGTTGTAAAGTTGTTTTTAATGCGCAAGATGGTTATGTCATGTCCAATCCGTCGACGAATCAAAGGGTGGATTAGTTTAATATTTATTTTTAAAAATACTTATATGTTAAAATTAAAATAAATTATTTATAATTAAAAATATTATATATTTTTATTATGGTATTGAAATATAAAAATATATTATAATTTAAATTATAAATATTAATTTATTAAATTTAAATTATTTATTATAATTAGATATTTGATGTATAAATATAATATTTTTTATTTATTTAATAAAAATAATATTTAATAAATAATTTTTTATAAATTATTTATATAATTAAAGATATATTTTAAAAATATATATAAAAAAATATTATTAAAAAATATTGACGGACTTATAACTCATTAATCCCTTTTATGATAAATTAAGTTGAAATTTATAATCTAAATTTGATTAAGACAAATGGATTCATTTATTTATTTTTGTTTTTTTTATGATAAATTAAGTTAAAATTTATAATCTAAATTTGATTAAGACAAATCGATTCATTCATTTATGTTTATTTATTTTTATGATAAATTAAGTTGAAATTTATAATCTATTTTTTATTATAACAAATCTATTCATTCCTTTATTTTATTTTTTTACGAACTAAAACCAGAATAAACGGATCTATTTTAGAATTTAATAAAATAATCACCCAATTAATTATCCTTAGACTAATGAAGTAATGGTAGCTCTAAAAAAATATAGAAAATAAATAAAAGATATTTCTCACCTTAACTTCTACCTCCATTATTCCTTGCATATATGAAACAGAAATAACTGAAAATTTAACAGATAACTAAAGAATTGGAACTAAGTTAACGGACAAAGAACACAACATTATTACTTGTTTTATAAATGAAATTATGGTAAATCTGATTTATAAATAAAATTAATTGAATTTAAATTAAGGGGAAAAAACAACATTATTACTTGTTTTAACCACTATTCTAAAACTAAAAAAAAAACTATTTTTTAATAAAATAATCTCATAAAAATTTTACTTTATAATTTAATCAATGAGAAACTTATATAAATATTCTTAAAAATATTTAATTGAATTTAGTATATTGATTTATGAATTCAATTAATTTAATTTATTATTCAGATTTATCAATCAACTATCGAGTTAAGTTATAAGCTACATTTGAGTTTCCTTCATACACAAAAATATGAAACACCTGTCTCCGACAACCTATAATAATGATAGCAAACATAAAAATATATAACAATTTAAGATTTTATTATTACTAGATTGTTGTTTTTCAAAAGGTATTTTGAAGATATATTTCTCCTAATTTATTATGGCATTCTGTTGTGTAGCTGTGAGAGTAACATAATGTTAGTCTTCTTTTCAGTTGGTCGAAGTTAATGCATAGAAATAATTTTTTTTATCAATGGCTTCAACTTAAACCTACTCAAGGTTTGTTTCCGTTCATCATTGTAGTGCGAATCTGATATCTTTCTCCCCCTCTCTAAAGAAGATTGAGTTGGAGATCGTTCAACATTTTCAACTTAAAACGATCTAAGCGAAGGGGTAAAAACAGAACAGTACACAAGACAAAAAGCAAAGTAGATTGTTTCATGAACAAATAGTACAGAGAGTCGAAGGATCATCATATGAAATGGAAAACATTACACTGTTCTCTTGGTTCATACAGCCTAAGGCCCTCATTTGTGACAAATCCTGGCTGTTGGCATGGTGACACAAACAGGGGAATAGATTTTCTTAGCTTCAGGAGTGCCACGTTTGGGCTCATCAGCCATGGCCATCCCAGCAACAGAGCAAACAGCCGCCGCAGCAGCAGCAAACATCATGTTCCTCCTTCCATTGTTGCCTTCCTTGTCAGACTCATAACTGACCCTTATCTTTTCTCCTTCAACTGTTTTGGAAGCATTTGCCACCACCAGCCTCCTCTGGGATGCCACCGGAGACCGGTTGCTGATGGCTGAGCTTCCAATGAGTGATGCTGCCATGGTGATGGATGCCATCTCTGCTATGTGATCTCAGTCTTGAACTAACCCCCAAAATTAGCCCTTCTTCTATGTTGCAAGTAGTAGTAGTTAAGTTTGATAAAAGAATATATTGGATGAGGAACTGGATGAAACCCACTATCTTATCTCATTTATGAAATGACCAATAAACTATTGCCACCTAGAATAAGTGATTATCTTGAACCAGTGGCCATAGCATTCACAATGTGTTATATGAATGGCTACGAAAGAAAAGTATCTATCATTGAATTTCTATTTTGCAGGTGGGCCAGGCTTATCTTCTACAGAGTTATGTGAGCCACCCATGACCCAGCACTTAGCAGGGTTTTTTGTGTCAATATTCTACTTCAGTCTTTAACATATTACAAGATTCCGCGACCCAAACAAGAGTGAAAGCAAACGCCCCATAGAATGTCAATCCACCATTTTTTTATCAAGAAGGAATGGATTACATTTCAAAGTGAATTGCTGACAAAAATACGATTATGCATTCTTGTTTAATTAATATCAGCTGTTACATGAGACTTATCACTTGGTGCAAAAAAAATAAACAAAAAATAAAAGGCAATGGCTCAACTTTATTTTGCAGAGTACACGTGAACTTAAGCGCAAATGATTACTTCTTCTCTTGTTCTGTATGGCGGAGGCAATAAATTATGTATGTTAACAAAAAGATCTCCACGGCCAGGTGGTGGTCTGGCAACAGGCGAATCCAATACTGAGTCGGGAATTGCCACAAGGGTTTCTTCAAAAAATGATTCGACTGTCTACATGGTTCAAGAATGTACTAAGCATTTCAATCAATTTCCACTAACTGAATTTATAAATAGATAATTTACAGTAAACAAATTATGTAACCCAAAGTGTTGACCTGACTAAGCCATATAACAAGGGAATGAAAGAACTAGTTATCTTATATCAGTACATGCACGTCACTAATTTCCACAATAGAATTGCAGAATACATCATAGCAATATGCACACTTCTTTTGGAGTCAGCTTCCCTCTAAACAGTAGTCACTAATTCTATGATAACCACTGCCTCTAATTTTTTTTTGTCCCAATTTATTTCCACTATTATGCTATATGTACAATCTATAATCTATAATAATAATGAAGCTAAGTGAGATTATTTGTACTCATTTTTTTAAAGTGTTTTTTTTTAATAAAATAAGCATATTTCTGTATTTTTAAGTTTATTTGTGCTTAATTTTTTTTAAAGTGCTTATTAATAAAATAAACAAATATATTTTTTCTTTAATGTATTTGTCCAATCTACTTATTTCAAAAAAAAAAAAACAGTTTTCTGCTTATTTATTTTAATAAGCAAATTCCATCTGCATCTTAAATAAGTGATCATTTTAAAATTATTTATTTCAAAAGCACTTATATATTTGTCTAATTTGTTTATTTAAAAAAGAAAAACAGTTTTCTGCATCTTTTAAGAAGCAAAGTGATTTTGTTTTTAAAAATTACTTATTTCAAATCCAAATACTTTAAAATTAAACAAACTGGTTATCAAATTCAAAGCATTATTTTTAGATTTCTGGATAAATGAAGACAGCTCCAGTAAACCCTGAGGAAGGCTTAAACTAATGCAAGAAAGATGGATGTTGACATATATGCCAGACCATCATAACATGCACCTTTACCATCCTTGAGATACAAATCATGGAAAAGAACAGTAATTATAGAAGACCACGTATATAACCTTTGCTTTATCAAGAAGTTTGTATATCCTTTTTAGTCTGTTGATAGCTTCATTTAAAGTCTGTTATAAACAACATACTCTTCTAAGCAATCAAATAATAGGTTTCACCATACTAATATTACCGTGCAATTTTTGAAAGCAGCATCTGCTTTGCGCTTCCAAAGTCCATTCCCAGGTTCTGAATGGAAAAGATTGAGTAGAGGCTGCACCAACATAGCAGACAATTGCGATATAATAGCAGCAAATTGGAGATAGAAACTCGAATCCCATTAATAGATGTATAATTTGCCTCATGTCAATAAAAAGGAGGAGCTGAGACCAAAATCCTCTAATCTTTTAAAATAAAATAGGAATATAAACATAGAGTTCATGAATTAGACTGCAAGGAATCAAAAATTTGTGTGCGGTGTATATATACTCATGTCATACGTAGTGAAAATGTGTCTACAGCATAACAACTTAAAGCTACATCTACATGTAAAGAATATAGCATGATATATCAGCTATTCAATATTACATTCAGTGGTACGCAGAAATTTACCGTGAATGGACGAAAGTAAATAGAAAATTAATTAACAGCGCTATTTTTGTTCCCACCTTCACAATGTCACGCATAGTTGGCCTACGTCCATATTTTCCCAAGACCGTATCCCCATAGGTTAGATATTTTTCAAGGACCTTAATTAAATGAGAAATAAATAATTAAAACCGAAAATAGAACTCAAGAGTAATGTTAAAATTAACTCAGAATTGGTACAGAAGAAATCCATGCAAAGCCAAACATTCTGTAAATGAACCTGACGACGTGTAAGACCACAGCTTGGTGCACCATAAACTGCGGAATCTACGTTTCCCAAAATATGCCAAGGGCTGTTGAGATTATCAGCAATGGTTACTCAAGCTACCGCGTATATCAATACAAATAACAATAAGAAGGTTGAAACAAAAAAATTGTAATAAATAGAAATTTCTACATCCCCACCAAACGCTGCATGTTTTTAGGACATATTTTCAGTAAAGAAAAAAATTCTGATACATCACACTGGCAAAAGGGAACAATAATTGTATTTGAAACTTACTTGTTGTACGCTGCACGTCCAACCATAACACCATGAGCCCCAGCTTCTCGAGCTGCATTGACCTATAATCAATGGTCCCCATGAAAACAGGTAAGGACAATGTCTAGTGATCAATGATTATGGACAGCTTTATTCCTGGACAACTCCTAAAATACATATGAATATTAGGAGTCAATACACAGAATATAGTTATACTGACAGCAGTTCACCTCTTCAACACTAGTAATGCCACCATTTATGGTAAATGTTAGGTCAGGAAAGTCACGCAGGAGGCCATAGAAGTATTCATACCTGTATTTTTAAAAAATGAGAGATATCACACGGAATTATACATATCGTGTAACTACAAAATCAAATTTTACTAGCACATACTTTAGCGGAGGAATGCTCCTATTTTCAGCAGGGCTAATGCCATTGAGCAGTGCCTTCCTTGAGTGAATTACGAAATGCTTAGTAGGTGATAAAGAAGAAACCTGGTATATGAAATCACCTGACAGATAATATAAAGTTCAAATGTAGCCCTAAAAAACATGGCACAAGTATTTTATTTAAGTCATATAACCAAAACTCTAATTAATGGCAACGGATGGTGTACAATAGAGATCCATTAGGACAACAAAACCAAACATATCAGATAAATCCCTAGTAAAAAGGGGTATAAAAACAACAAATTGCTTTCTGTTGAGTTATTAAGATCAAGACCAAAGATGGAAGAAACCAAAATGGGAATGATTTGATTCTGGACAAAATGGAAACACAACCTCGTAACTACATATTATCACTGATCTTCTAAGATGCAAAAAACTGATCTTGAAAAACAAATAAAACACTTGAACTGCAAGACCAACAAGTAGTGGTAAAAATTAAAAAGGTGCCCCCAAAACTCAATCAAAAATAATTTTATGATTGATTCTGCATATTTCTACAATGATTAGTTTTCCGTAATTGGTTACTAATAAGAATAAACCAACTATCACCAAGATATACACCTGAAAGAAACAAATAAAAGAAGCAACAATCCTAGACCACCAGCAACAGAGCACACAACACTCAAATGATGCAAAACATCCACCGGTTACAACTCATCCAAAGGGTATAAAGTCAAGGAATGTGAATCAAGGGGCATAACCCTTGGAAAATACAACCATTAGGAAAAATTGTATCAATTAGGAACGGTTATTAGAAACAATATAAATAAAAGTATTCTAGATTCGGAAAGACAGAAAGGAAATTAGGAAGGGCTTGTATTATGAAGAGACAAGCTCTCGAAAACTTGTGTTATAAAAATATCCCAAAATCATCTTTTTAAATTCTATTCATTTTATTAATCCTGTCCAGTCCATATCAGTTACAAAACAAATTCATAGCGCTGTCCCAAAGTCTGGCTCCTATTACCATGTAATAATTTAACTCCAGCAATTAAGTAGTAATTTTGAGTGATAAATAAGCACCCAGGGGATTATGAAATAATAAGCACCTATTATGTAAGGATGTACTGTACCCAATCATTGAAATCTAATCAGTTAATACATGGCAAACTGTAATGCTTTTTTTTTGCAATTTTTATAAAAGGAGGAGGATAAAACCTATTCACTGGATTAAAACTTTGCAATCTTTAAACTTAAAATATAAAGAGAATGAGACAGAAGAAACTTACAAAGTTCATTGTAAGAATCATGATCATCCACGCCAATTCGACATTTGACACTGACAGGTACATTTGTGCTGGCAGCAATTGCTGACATGGCCTCAGCAACAAACTTTCCTTGTATACATTAGATTTCCATATCAAATTGCAATGACAAAGAACAATTATATAATCTGTTTGCATATATTCATATTTAATTAAGGATCAAGAATGGTTTTCTAACCTTGGGGTTAAGCATAAGGCTCACTCCAAAACACCCATGTCCAGCAACTTTTGGACTAGGGCATCCACAGCTGGTACAAATTTTGGAAAAAGAAATCTAATTCAAAGACAAACAGTAGAAAAGAGAAACTTAAAGGTTTAAGATAATTGGAAATGTACAAACTTTAAGTTGATCTCGTCATAGCAATAAGCATTAGCAAGCTCAGTTGCTTTAGCCAAATTTTCTATATTACTCCCTCCAATTTGAAGCACAATGGGATGTTGGTCTGGAGAATATGCCAAGAATCTGTCCTGAACAAATTAAACAAAATAAAAAGAATAAACAGTTTTTCAATGCCAATTTATCCAGAAACTAAAGTGTTGAGTACCACTGCGTTACTTTGAATGACAACCAATCAATACAATTTACTATGTGAGATATATTTTTATCACACAAAACACTATAAAACTCCAATCATATCTTAGTTATTCACACAAGCAACACCCTTTTGACTCCATCCATTGTACCCTTTTTTATTTTTGTTTTCTTTTAATAAGCATACTTAAATATATACCAGATTGTCTTTTTGATGAACAATTGTCTCAGCTGCAACCATCTCCGTGTACAGCCAAGCATGTTTTGATATGAGGCGTGCTAGAGTTCTATAGTGATTGTCCGTCCACTCCATCATTGGAGCAACACTAAAATTCAACCAACAAAAGAAATATCAAACGACTGACAAAATCAGTATACTTTATAGTACATACAGGCAGATGACACCAAAAAAAAAAGGTGCAGAGATACCATCACCAGGCACACACCTAAACCAATGAGGAAGATAGTATCTGGAAACCACTCCAGGCTTATCATGTAATCGTGCTTTCGGACCATGAGTAGAAAATAACCTATAGCTGGACTTCTTCCTACGAGATATAACTACTTGGAATCTGCAATTGTTTTTAACGATAATGGAACCTATGGGAGCAAATGAAACAGCCAGGGAATATCCTCCAAGCTTCGCCATCTCATCACTCTCAGTAAACCATGACCTATCCATCAAAAGAAACAAAACTTTCATGCTGTCACACTGATACAAAACAAGTGTTGCGTGCTGACCAATTACATTTTAAAATCATTTAAAAAAAAAACAAATAATTCAGGGTTGCACAGACAGAGAAGCATTTAGGCGGGGCAAAGAAACTTACGCCGGCGTCGGATTCCAGAATGGGTTCGGTTGGTGAAGTTGGTGTGTGCGCAGCTTATCCAGATTCCAGACAAACACTAGACTAGAAGCACGAGAGTTTGTATTCAAACGTTACAAAAATAAGAGAAGTGTTTTTCATGATAATACATATCAAATTTTTAGAGAAGGGTAACAAAATTCAATATTATTGAAAGAGGAATGATATTTTGCGAAACAGAAACCATTTAACTCTTCAAATAACTTACTTTTATTAATATAATAATCTATAAACTGATTTAAAAAAATAAAATAAAATTATTATTATAAATAATCTATAAACTGATTTAAAAAAAATAAAATAAAATTATTATTATAATATTAAAATAGAGTTATTTACACAAATTATTTACAGGAGTTGATTTAAATTATAATATTAAATAATTTTATTTACAATTTATAAAAACCTAATATTTAAAATTCTACCTATTTCAATGAATTATTCATTTTATAATAATTTTTTTACATGACTGGTGAATGTCACATTCCCATTTTAGAAAAAATAATTGTGAATTGAGACTTTCCGAAATTCTTCAGTAATTATATTACTGAAATCAAATATTTATCAGTTACTATTTTTTTAATTGAAACACATTTAAACTACAAGAACGATTGTGTTTTTAGATTTATTTAGTTTTATATTTTAGATTTAAAAAATATTTTAAAATTGAAGTTAAAAAAATTGATAATTATAAATTAAAATTTATTTTAATAAAAGATAAACATAATTAAAAACTATTTTAATGATTACATGATCACGAACACTAATTATTATGCATGAAATAAAAATATAAACATTATTAATAAAATAAATTAATATATTTATCAAATTTAATTTTTTAAATAGTTTTTAAATTTATTTTAATAAATTAATTATCAAACAATATTTAAAAAAATTTAAAACTATAACATAAAATGAACTTAAATGATTCTATTTCAAAATAAGAATCTCTCAATATTAATCTAATATCTCGTTATGATAAAATCGTTATGTTCAAAAGTATTATTTGTTTTAAAGTTTTTGTTTGTCTACGTCTGTCTATTTCCGTCTAAAAACGTGAATGTCTCGAACTCATATTAAGGTATTGTCCACTTTACTTCAAAATTACATGAGACTTATGAGCATACTGAAACATAACTCGACCCCCACGGTAGATGCTAATGTTTTATCTAAGATAGATAATGTTCTAGTTTCATATCCATTATGATAACATTGTTAGATCAATTTTCATATTCAAGGTATTGTTTGTTTTGAAGACCTAATATGTTACAATTTTATTATCTCAATTGATTGAGAGAGGATGATGTATATAAACTACTCTTGACCTTGATTCCTAAGTGATGTGAGACTCATGATTCCATGTAGGAATAAGAATATCCTAACATCATGTCTGTTATGATAATATCGTTAGAATTAATTATCATGTCTGGGATATTGTTCGTTTTTTAGCTTTAAATCGTCACGATTTTGTCCTTAAAAGATGTCTAAGTGAGTTGAGAGATAAAAGTATATGTAAATTACCTTTCATCTTGACTCTTAAACGATATGTGACTCATGAGAGTACCGAAACATAAATTTCCAATCGAGAACTACAAAAATATAAGAGTAAAACGAGACTCACATTTCAGTGTCACGGTAAGCGTTTAGGAACTAAAATGTTTCAACCCCATATCAATTATGATAACATTATTAAGGTTAATCTCCATATCCAAAATATTGTATATTTTAAAATTTTAATTTATCACAGTTTTATCCTTAAAAATATATTTAAAAGAACTTAAACAAATTTTAAAAATATATAATGATATTTAAAAAAAATGTCAACTTACTAGTTGCATTTTAGTCACAAAATGAAATGAAATCAGTTAACCACTAAGTTGGATTTTTTTTCATCTGTTCTTTGTTATTTTATTATGTTTTCACGGACTAAAACTCTTTCATTTTTAAATTTGTATATAATATATTTATATCAAAACTGTATTTGAAAATGTGAGTTTAGTAAAAACCCAAAAATTCCTATCAGTGGTAATTTATGTTTAAACATATGGTAATTACTTATTTTCTGATTAAATTGTCTTCCTAAGGGTATAGCTTTTGCTAAATTGTTTTTTTTTTTAAGTTGTATAATTGGTAATGAAAATAATAATAATAATTACACATAGTTTTGTGTTCGTGTAAAATGCATGATCATGAAACTTTGATATTTGCGTAATTTTGATTACAATTTTAAGTTGTAAAACTAGCAACTATTTAAACACATGAACACTTATAACAAATATCTTTCAATCATTTTAATAGCAGATTTTTTTCTTCATATTATCAGTATGAAATTTGTATTACCTTTGTCAGTGAAAATTTTAATAAGACTTCTTCTTTTAATCATGTTTTTTTTTCATTTAAAAGAGTGACAGTGAAAATAATTGACTTTGTCTTCAGATATTATTTTTCACATAAAAATACAATTTTTTATAGTATGATTATAATAAAAAAAGCAGTAATTTTTTTGATCTTATTACAAGCTTTTCTTAGTTCATTTAATCAAAATTGAAAATAGTGAAGAAAATAAAAGAAAAATATCATTCCATGTCAAGAAAGATACATAATTTTTTTTCTTATTAAATGCCAAGCATTTTTAAGATTTTGCTATTGAAACTTATGTTTAAAAAGTGTTTATCAAACATCATGTCATTTAAACATTAATGTGTGTATGTTACAAGGTTAATAATTTCACAACATTACCAAATGACACCACAAAACAATTTTATAATATATATATATATATATATATATATATATATATATATATTATTAAAAAAATATATAAATTCACTTACTGAAAAAAAAGTCATTAAATATAAAATATGAAAAATTAATTAAAAAAAAAAAAGACAAGAGAAAGAGCACAGGGAAAACTGAAAAGAGGCAACGCCGTTGTTGGGGGTGGTGCTAGTGCCTACCCTTAATCGCATCATCCTTCACTAATAAATACAAAGCATTAGACTTTCTTTGTTCATCGCTTGCTCGCTCTCTCTTGTTTCAAGAAACGCACGCAGTCCTTGTCCCTGTGCCCTATACGATCCTTACGTTCTCAAGTTACTCATCCTTCCTCTGTTTTCACTTTCATCTATCTATCACATAGCACGATCTCCTAGAACTGTTTTGTGCATTTTGTGGTTTCCGCAGCAGGTTTTAACTCCGTTGGGGTTTTGATTTTCGAATTTATTCAGACTCGCTAACAGCAATTCAGGTACCGAATCTTTACCGAACGAAGGCTTCTAGGTTTTATTTATTTAATTTAATTCCTAGTTTAGAGAAGAATCTCCATGACCTCCCCCATGCACCGGAATCTGTATTTTCTGCCTCTAGTATCGTTTGCGTTCGTGGTAACTCGGTAGATTTAACGCACACAGACACGCATATTGAATTTGTGTCCGTGTTTTTGCTGGCATGCTAATGCATTGTTCCGATTCCCTTTGTTTATTCTTTTACATATTTATCTAAATATCTCACCAGAGTTTTTCTTCCATTGTGATGTGTAACAGTGATAATAACGCCCCCTTTTTTTATGTCTGTTGACCTAGTTTCGGTCCCATGTCCTTCTCTTTATTGTTTGAAAATTTTCAAGAGTGTGGTGGAAGCTAGGAAGCATTTCTGAACGGTATCAGTGTCGTGTAGTAGTCTGCGACGTATCTGGGTTGAACATTGCATGAACGGACACTTTGAATGTTTTTATCTGTATTTTTACAAGGTTTACTCTTATTCTTTTGAACTGTTATAGCTATACAAATTTGAACCTTATCACAGTTTCATATATTTTAGCATTTCATAACATGCAGTATAATCTTGTGATTTAAACATTTTATTTTTCTTTTATTTTTTAGTAATTCTATAAACGTAGTATTATAACTGTGTCTTGTACGTTTGTTGAATATCATATCCCCATGTTCGTGTCATATTGCATCCTTTCCGTGTCCTGTATTCATTCTTCCTGGGTTGGAAGTATTAAAACACTGTATGATTGATTGAATTGTGTTTAGGTTTTATGCGTGTCTAGAGCTGAAGCGGTGCATATAGGTTAGCATGGGATTTGATAATGAGTGCATAGTGAACATTCAAACTCTTGCTGGAGAGTACTTCTGTCCTGTGTGTCGGCTGCTTGTATTTCCAAACGAAGCTTTGCAGTCACAATGTACTCATTTATACTGCAAGCCATGTCTGACATACGTTGTGAGCACTACAAAGGCATGCCCATATGATGGTTACTTGGTCACCGAGGCAGATTCCAAGGTTCTTTTTGTATTCATTCGTAAATGCTCATGTGCAAAAAATATTCTTGTATGCATATATGAATGTGTATTTGTATGCCTTAATTGCAGCCTCTGACAGAGTCGAATAAGGCACTTGCTGAAACTATTGGAAAAATAGCAGTTCATTGCCTTTATCATAGGAGTGGATGCACATGGCAGGGAAATTTGTCTGAGTGCACATCTCATTGTTCTGCATGTGCTTTTGGAAATTCTCCTGTTGTTTGCAATAGGTGTGGGATCCAAATAGTGCATCGCCAAGTACAAGAACATGCACAAAATTGTCCTGTATGTTCCGTTCATTTATAATATAATAATAGTTTCATCTGTCTATTTCTGGCAGTCTGATGCTTATTTTTGTTGATTGGCAGGGTGTGCAAGGGCAGGTACAGCAGGTGACCACTACCCAGGATCCTTCAACTACTAGTGTTGTTGCTTCTGCGGATCAGAACCAGAATGCTGCTCCCATTGCAGCAACGGCTTCACAAGCTGCTGTCACAACTACTATGCCTGGGCAGGTTTCAAATCAGCAACCCAACCCTGCTTCCCAAACACAAACTTTAGTTCAAACTGCTGGGCAACCAACGGCAGAACAATGGTATCAGCAGCAACAGTATCAACAATACTACCAGCAATACCCTGGACAAGATCCATACCAACAGCAGTATCAACATTACTACCCCTATCAACAGTCCTTGGTTCCACAGTACCAGCAGGCCTATGGTCAGCCTCAACCTCAGTCTCAATCACAGCCCCAGGCCCAGCTTCAACCTCAGCCCCAGCCACAGGCCCAACACCAATCACAGCAGCCTCAACTTCAACCACAACCTCAGGCACAAGGACTTTCTCAACCACCTTCACATATTCAGGCTCCTGTAGCCCCACCATCTCAGAATCAGATGCAAGTTCAACAACAACCACAGCAACTTCAACCTGCTGTGCAGCCACATGGTCAGACGAGTCATGCTCCTGGCCATGGTCAACCCCTCCCTCAATCTCAGGCTCAGCCTTATCCTTACCCCCAAGTTCAGTCTCATTCTGTCCAACCTCAACCCCAACAGCCTATGCAAATGCCTCCATATCAGCAGACCCTTCCTCAAATGCAGCATTCACAACCTCAAATTCAACAACCAGTTCAGAAATATCCTGTTCCTCAATCTCAAGTTCATGCACAACTGCAACCCAATGCTTCAGTTCAACATATCTCTCAGCCCCCAATGCCTCATCACCATCCTGTGACACCTAATGTCCAGCCTCAAGTGCAAAATGCAACATCACATTCAGTGACAGGGCATCACTCTTATCCGCAACCTCTTCCTCACCCAAATATGCAACAGGGAGCTCCTCAACATAATATGCAGTTGCACCCTCAAAGTGGGCCCCAACCTCAGGCCCAACACCCTGTCCCGATGCAGAATCAGTTTCCTCCACAAATTCCAAACATGCGTCCTAATCAATCTCATGCTATGTTTCCTAACCAGCAACCACCTGTTCAGGGCCAAACTACCCCTCCTCTGCAGCAACAGCCCTTGTATACCCATAATCAACAACATGGACAAATCAACCAACATCCTACTCTGCAACCTGTTCAACAAATACCTCAGCAGCAGCCATTTGCACAACATCAAATGCCTATGCCATCACATTTACGACCACTTGGTCCAGCACATTCATTTCCCAAGCATGTGTATTCACAGTCACAGGCTAATACTGCACTATCAAATAACATTCAGCACAGTCAATCTCAAAATGCTGGTGGAAGGCCTTTAGTTCCTAATCATGCAGGACGCCAACAGCCATTTGTACAATCTGCCAATACCATGCCAGTTAGACATGGGCAAAATGGTGCTGGCTACTTGCTTGATAATCAGAAATTGTTGGTTGGTACCAACCATCAAGTGCAGTTGCCTTCTGAATTGCAGTCCAGGGCACCAGAAACAATTGAAAGACATGGTGATGTCAGTGAACAACAAACTGACTCTGCCTCTGGTAAGCTGGGTAAAAATTTTAAAGATTTGGACACGGTGTCTGGATCAGCGAATGAGTTGAAATCTGAAAAATTTGAAGCAAATTTGAAACCAATAGAGGTTGGGAATAAACAAAGTAATGAAGATCCACACTCTATGAAGAATTCAGTCCTGAATGCCAATGTAGTAGATAATGGTGATCCTGTGAATAAGAATCTTGGGATGGGGGAGGCTGCTGAAAGCAATTGGAAGCCTTCAGTTAGTAATAAATCTGTTGCTGCAGTGCACGGGGTTCAAAGCGACAGTAAGGAGCATTCTGTCCAAGGCAATGAATTTCAAGAAGGACATCCACCAAAGATAGACACAAAACTCCCTGACTTAGAAACCGATAAATTACACAATGATGACAATCCTGCGCCATCTGACACTCAAAGCAATGGGAGTTTTGCTCAGCTGTCTCACTCAGCCACTTTCACAGATCAGAGTAAGCATCAACAACCAATGACTAATTATGGGCCTCCTTCTGCCCAGCAGAGATCTTCTGCAATGTTAGCATCACAATTGCCACACCCAACAGTTCCAAACCAGCCACTCTCTTCATTGCACTCTTCAGCTCTTGTCAGGAATCATGGATCTGCCCATGGTTCTCATACAGGACACTCCTTAACAGATAATTTTCCGCCAACCATGTTTAAGCAGCCACAAGATTCTGACATTACTCCTGGACGAGGCTTTCAATCTCAGCCTCTTGGACCCCCACAACCATTTAACCAAGTCCACGAGCCTCCTTTCCATGCTGGTGCATCAAATTTGTCTCGTCTTGGAGGGCCTCAATTTGGTGCACCACTTCCTGGAGATATGCGTGGTCGAATGGCAGCCAACTTACCACCACATGGTCCAGAAGGTTTTGGTTTGCATGATGAAAGGTTCAAACCTTTCCTTGTTTCAAATCAACAAAATATTGATAGAAGAGAGTATGATGATGATCTAAAGAAATTCTCTAGGGTGCCTTTGGATGCTGAGGCAATTTCTAAATTTGGAAATTACTCATTAAGTGCACATGAAGCTGGAAAGAGATCAGTTGGTATTCATGATGACATTGTTAAGAAATCAGGTTCTACGCATCATCCTGGTTATCTTGGACCAGGTTCTGGATATGGGAGACATCATATGGATGGTATGACTCCAAGAAGCCCTGTTAGTGAATATGCTGAGATGTCTTCTCGTAGATTGGGGGGGCACTCCGGTAGTCGTGTTGGTAAGTCAGGTATAGATGATTTTGATGGCAGAGTTGCACGTCGCTTCAGTGGTGAGTTCCATGATAGTCAGTTTCCTCCTTTGCCTAGCCATTTGCATAGAGATGAATTTGATGGTTTTGGTAACTTCCGAATGGGTGAACATCCAAGGAGTGGTGATTTCATTGGTCAAGATGAATTTGCTGGCCATTTTCGAAGGGGTGAACCTTTGGGCCCTCATAATTTTCCTAGACATTTACATCTCGGGGAACGTATTGGTTTTGGTCCTCATCCTGGTCATATGAGAGCAGTTGAACTTGGTGGTTTTCGTAGTTTTGAACCTTTTACAAAAGGCAACAGGCCAGGCCATCCACAACTTGGTGAGCCTGGGTTCAGGAGCAGCTTTTCTCTTCCTGGATTCCCTAATGATGCTGGATTTTTAACGGTAAGTTTTGATTAGCCTTATATTCATTTTTGTATTTGCGATTATTATCATAAGTGTTCAAAATAGAAGTTAAGTAGGTGAAATGTGAATGTTTTGGGGGGAGATTGGCTTCAATATCAAATAGATTGTTCATTTTTTTTATTATATCTTTTATTTATGTTGCTGTTGTTTTTGCTTTCCAGGGAGATATCAGGTCGTTTGATAATTTGAGGAGAAGGAAGGCTTCCAGCATGGGGTGGTGCCGGATATGTAAAGTTGACTGTGAAACAGTAGAAGGTCTGGATTTGCATTCACAAACAAAGGAGCACCAGAAGATGGCTATGGATATGGTTAAAACAATCAAACAAAATGCGAAGAAACAGAAGTTGTAGGCTATTTTTTTGGTTTGTCATTAATGTTGTTGCATTCATCTGGGAAAAAATTAACCTCCATTTGGAAGATAAATCCGCTATTACTTTATAATGCAAGTTTTTTGTTTTGTAGAATACCCAGTGAACAACCCACAGTTGATGAGGGAAACAAGACACACAATACTGGTTTTGAGGGTCGTGGAAATAAGCATTGAGTAGTCATGGTTTGCTGTAATTTGATATTCTATCATGCAGTTGCCATCAAAAGATGTTACTATGGTATTATGGCATTTACTAATGTTTATCATTTAATGTTCTTTTCCTACTTTAAAGGTTATTTATGCTAGTCATGTTATTTCAGGTTGCTGCCTTCATGTTTATGGGAATATTTTACAGAACTGGAGTACTGTGGCAGTTAAGTTTGTTGGCTTTTGAATTTGAAATAGATAATTACATAACTGGAATAGCTGTCTCAACCTTGGTGCTTTGTTAACAGTTTCTATCATTTCATGTTGTTTATGTTTTTTACATGCTATTGATAAGTACAATTTCTTCAGATGGCAATCTTTTGACCATAGTTACTAATCCTAGATAGTGGCTGACCCAAAAGTCGCCATGGTATGATGGACGCTATATTAGTTTTTCTATACATCCATACACACACACACAGACATATATATATATATATATATATATATATATATATATATATATATATATATATATATATATATATATATATATATGCTAAAAAACTTTCAAAATTTCACCTATTCATAATTTTCAATAAAAAGTTGGATGTCCTAGGCAAAACATACTAGTAAAAAGTGAAGGAAACATTAATGAAGATGGAAAATGGTTGGAGAAGACAGATGACTGCAATGTTGCAGTTGCCAGAAAATTGTCGGAGAGGTGGTGGTCTGTCACCAGTGAAGGTGGGTGGGCAGGCATGTGAGAAGAGAACAAGGAGGGCTGTGTGTTGGAATCTTGTAGTCATAGTTTAAACTGAATTATGAGGGGGGAGGGAGAATATGGTTTTTTCAGAACAACAAGCATCATGGAGTATAGCATGCAAATTGCCCGTGATTCAGCCTTGACTGCCATAACCTTGAAAATGTCTTGCAATATATGCTCTGTAACAGCCAACCGCCACTATGGCACTATAGCACACTATCAATAGCCCTTCTCCTGACTCATCATAGAAACCGTCTGTTGACGTCTGTACATTAATGGTAATTGAATATCCTAGCCCAGTTTGGTCTTTCTAGTTTTTATTTCTTGATTAGCACTAGAATTCTATTATCTGAGCTTTTTATACACGTATCTTACTGGAAAGTGATCTCCCTAGTGTCTTGCATATGTTTCCTTAAAGCCCAATTTTGTTTGTATTGTAGTGCAAGATTGGGAATAAAATAACAAAAACTAACCCCTAAAAGCCATACCATTTATACCTTAAGGAATTTTATTTTAATTATTTATTATATTATAGTTCAAAAATCAATTTACATTTAGTTTTTAGATTTAGAAAAATAGAAAGAAAAAAAAATCCTTTGCTACAAAACTATGTTTCCTCTACACACATCCCTAGTGCCATAAGTATTACTCATTGGGTTCAATGATATCTAAAGTGCATGCACTTAAGGTGCTAAGCCAAGGTGACAGGGATGTTGCCTTGATACCCTAGCAAACTTTTACACTAACGTGGTTCTGGTGATCCAGATGCCTGAAACGGCTGAATCTTGGCCATCACTTGAAATGTTCAGGGAGTTGAGCTGCATTTGTTATTCCGATTCATGGTATGGAGCAAAATAAAAATAAATAAAAAACTAGAGTGCAACTGACCTGGCCTGTTTGGACATGGGACAAAATGAAAGACTGCTCAGGCCCTCATTTTTCCGCATTTAGATCAAATAGAAATAACGGAAACAAGCTTAAAATACTCTTCTAAATTATTCCAGTGAGATCAGCATTAGTTACTCCCGTTCTTATATAATTAAGTTTGAAACGTATCAACATCCTTAGCCGTAGGTCTTGATTAAAGAAGTTATTTCGTTTGAGGAAAGGATCAAATGAGTTCATTGGGAAAAAGGTAAAAAGGTTTTAGAAAGAGAATAAATATAGTGAGAATGATAAAAAAGTTTTCTTTAAAAAATAAAAAATAGAATTATGCTAATTAAAATAGAAAATAACTGATCAAGAAATAAGCTGTAGACAAAAGAGATAGTGCATCATTAAAACTTGGAAAATTAATTATGAAAATATACTCATTACCTTGCTATGGTTTTTTGGGTTCCCACATATTTTTCTGATTGCTGAAACTGAATCTACTTGTGACCTTTTGTAATTAACCTCTTGAAAAATTAATACTTTATGTAAACTTTTTATGTAATTAACCACATTAAAATTGTCTTGCGTGCAGTAATTTCATTTCTCTATATTTTCCATCTTTTTTTCCCCGAATCAGGACAGTCTTTTGGTACCTCTTACCTCAAAGCATTGAGGGATCTGGTGACCTTCACCCCTTTACTTACTTGACCTTTAATGAATTCTGGATTTCTAGAAACAAAAGGATATCTTGTATATCATATCATTTATTCTTTAATTCCAACGTAACTGTATATTTTCAGTGGAGTATTTCAGCACTTCACTTGAATTTTCCCAAAATAGGAAAGTTTGGAGAATTACTTTGACCAATATTTTCAATCGTATCCAGACATATTCTAAGATTCCTTGGGACTAGGTGTAAATAAGAATTTCTAAATAATGATAGAATTGGCGTACTAAAATTGTTTCATACATGTTTATTTCAAAAAGCATAATAACATTTGTATCATGATCCATGTGATGTGATGCACATCCATCGTTTATGTTGGCTTTTGACCTCCTACCATACAAAGTACAAAGATTGTTAACAAAACATGTGATAGTTTAATAATGTAGGTTCAAATCCATTACTGATTTTGAGACCTAGAGAACGAAGACTAGGATTACTTTGGGTTTATGGTAACCTTTTGTGACAGATGGAAAGGATGTATTTAGTTCGGTAGTAAATATCCAAGAATATTCCACCATGGTACACTGGCTTTGATTAACTAACTTCAGTGTATATTTGGATTTAGAGAGTATGTAGCGGTAATAGTGACAATAATTTAAAATTCTTCTAACTTGCAGTCTATATATTTAGATTTAGATAGTATATAGTGGTAATAGTGACAATAATATAAGATTCTTCTAATTTAGAGGTTGTTGGATTTTTTTTTTATTATTTCCTAGAACCGCTTCTACCTAGTTAAAGATTATACCATTTCTATCACAATGTTGGGAGCGCCAGTTGAAGCGGTGAGATAGACTTCTTGATTGGCTGGGCTTCAATCTCTACCCTGTCATTATGTTTTTCTCAGGTTCGTGATTTTCAATCTTAATAGTTTATGTTAACAGATTCCTTATTAACCCAAAAATAGTCTGCTCTTTGGGCGGACTGTTTTAATATTATCTATTGAATGAATAATAACTCTTTGTTATTGATTGTTTTCCTTTTCTAATAAAATATTCATCCTACTTATTTTAATTTCAAAATGATAACGACGACACTGACCCATGTTATTTTGCACACATTTGAGAGGGTGAGTGCAATAATAGGTGACTTACCCTTTTTAGGAGCATCAATAGTTATAAAAATGTTACAAATTTGTTAATTACAGTAGTAGGGTGGTTGCATGTACTCCTCAATACAGAGACAGACTGAAGGAAAATTTGCATGTACCTCCTCGATATAGAGACAGACTCGAGGAAAATCTAGTTACCTTGTAATGGGAACAAAAACTTCAATTAGGGGATTTAATACATTGGAAAGAAGTTGAACGATAGTAATTAACAAATAAGTTGTTAATTAAGAGCACTTGGAAAGTTGTGACTTTAAAGAATGTCTGGTGTTTAAATGGAGTTGAAACTATAGGTGAAAAACACTGGATGTTATTGAAATACGTAAGTGAGTAGCCCATCGGGGAAGAGTGGGGGAATCATGGTATTCCTTACGTCTGCGAGTTTAACCTTGCATTAGATTACATATGTTAACTTGACTAAACGATATGGTCAAGGTCAACGACAGCCAAGTTTTCCTTTTTCTTTTTTTTCTTTGGGTGGCTAAGGATCAAACATATATTTTAAGAAAAGGTAATTCATAATCATCATGACAAATTACTAGAACATTCCATAGTGTGAACTTTGTATTATCATGAAGAAACAATTACCGTTATGTTCTTGTCTTTATTGTGTTGTGAGTGATTGGGTCGTCTCAGCAATTCTCCCTCTTAAGTAAATATTTATGTTTAAGAAAATTACGGCCTATCTTTTAGGTTATGGTAGAATATTGTTTATTAGATTAAAAAAAAATTAAGTAGTGATTGTGCGCATTCCAGATTGTGGAGCAACGTTAAAAAAATTCAATATCCCAGACGAAAGGTCATAAAGTTTATAAATTGTGATTACATTTAAAATCAAATCAGAATATAAGGATTGATTAATATTAAACAGAAAAGGAAACACGAAGTCAGTGAAAGACAGATGCAGTCATTCATGAGTTGCCTAAGCATAATTGGTAAAGTTTTTTTCCGGTATCGGAAAATTGATTTTTTTTATAACATACGATGGATATCCGAGATTTTTATGGATATAGAAATTTATGGTTTTTAATTATTTTTAATATATATATATATATATATATATATATATATATATATATACACTTTTTATGTAAAAGTTGATTATTTTTCTTGTATCTATAAAATTATGTTATATTAGAGTGAAACTACAAAGGTAAATTAGGAAAAAATGTAAATGTATAATGAAAGAATTATTTAAACTAGTAGGATGTTGGTCATGCTATTATTGAAATTAGAAAAAAAATCATGTAAAATTAGGGGAAAAAAAATATATATATATATATATATATATATATATATATATATTTTGTCATTTTAGTGTTGTGTATGTTTTACTGGGTAGATTTTAGTTTAACAAAATGGAAAAAAAAAATCATGTAATTTTATAAAAAAAACTTTGTTTTCAATAAAGTTTGACGGGTCTACTGACCGACTTGTTTATCTGTGGGCTTTGTAGGGTAGATACGGATGTGGAAAGAAAGTCCATTTATTTCATGGAGACGGGCCTGTTCTGCCCGTGTATCTACCCCTTGGTTAAATTTAATCGACTATTG